GGGTTGTCATGAGTTTCAACATCAAGAAGCGCAACTTTCTTCTGGCCAGTGTATGCCTACATTGACCCCTCAAACCACCCCAATGTAGGCAAATATGCCATACATGGAGTGTCTGGGTGAGGAAGCTTTGGCCAGCCCCTCACGATTACTCCAATGCCAGAATTGTGCTCGCAGCAGCTGGGATATTCTTGGTGGGTGGACGTCCTTGCATCAACTGTCAGCTGTTTACTGCTGAACACACAAAGGGGTCTCTTCAGAAGGGAGCAGGGGAACAAAAAGAACAAAACAGCATCTCTATCATTCTATCATTTACCAAACAAACACGTCAAACAATGGACTTTGCACGGTTCTTCAATATGTTTCTTGGGCTTCCTACTTGTGACACCGGCACACCAATCCTCGACCTTTAGCACCTCCTGCCACAAAACAGAACCCGGGGAGATCTTGCTCCACTTGCTTCACCACCAGCCTCGGTCTTCTTTTCCCTACAGTGGTTTCAGAGTATAGATGGCACAACCGCCAATTTTGGCGGTTGATCTGGACCTCCGTCTATAAAAATATCATTTAGGTTTGCGCCATCTATTCTGGAGAAAAACCTATTCCACGAAGAATGCATACCTACTAGCTGGATCGTCCAACTCTGACACATATCATTTAGGTTTATATGGACCTCCTGTTCTTTTCGGGGCGGGCCCACCGTCCGCACCTCAACTCCGAGGACCAACGCTTCGCCAAGTCCTGCAGGACTTAAGCGCTGGGACCGGGCCCAGGAACTGCGAACTGGCCGAAGAACAACTCACCAGGGGTCACATGCCGGGGTGCCTACAGAGGTAGCCAGTGACCTGAACTAGGACCCTACAGGAGTACCCAACTAGGATAGTCGAACTAGGGTTCTGACCCACCTCTGCTGGTGGTGTGGCTAGTACCATCCAGTGGATGTGACTTCTGGGCACCCTGTACTCCTTCCTCCGTTCGTCACCGGCACCCCGTCGACTGTGCTGGCAAGGACTTCCAACGAATTTGGGAGGATGGACTCCATGGACTCCATGGGCCCAAAGATGGCCAAAGACCTTAATCGATTGAGATTCATTCAAATAAGCAGATCCTGGCAAAAATGGATTTACACAGAAAAGCAACATCACCAGATCCGCCCAAACCCGGGGACCTCGGGAAAAGCGGAGGTTTGGAGGAACATCATGGAGCCGGACGCCTCTTCAAAGGGACGAGATTCTTTTTGAGGGGTGGTTGGCTTATATGTTTTATATATAATAGTCATATTATATTATACCTCTTCTCAGACCTTCTTTTTAGCGCAATTAGCCAAGTCGTTTTTTCTGGAGAACTCAGCCCATTCCCCACTCTTGGCGAGAGTGAGCAGTGGGAACGTGTTTTGAGGGAGAATATCCTCAGAACCGTTTCAGGACCTCTTCAGGGAGGAGTCTAGTGGAAAAAGACATGGCTTCCTCAAAGGGACCTCTTTGGAGTCCTATTCAGCGACCATGTCCAGGCCTGTTGGTGACCTCAAACCAGGTGATCAAGTTCGGTCACTTTGAAAAGCCTGGAACGTTTCAGGGAGAGTTTGGGGATTCGTTTCAAGGATTAGGTCTGCCAAGAACGTTCAAGAAACCACGTGACGTAGGTGCAGCTTCGCCGTGGACCTGCATACGTCCTTCACAGGCTTTTTCTGGTGATGTTCGTCGAGGAAGCGTCCAATGAAATGTGGGGCCTCCCCACGTGCAGCGGCCCAAATCCATCTCAAAGGTCTGCAGCCCAAGACTTTCAGGGACATTGGCAGGCTTCCTGGCCCATTGGTTGGGTTGAATTCCCGCACAGTCCTTGTTGTGCTAAGGATGTTGCACTTGAACCAAATCAAGTGAACTCTTGGAGTGGTCGAAAGGAATGGGATCAATAACGTGGACGAGTTCTTGATGAGAATTCGAGGATAAGAATACCCTAGGCTTCCAACAACCATTGTTTTAATGGCCTTTACCGAACCACCGTTGTTTTACTAAGGATTTTACACTACGCAACCAGATCAACCTTTCTTTTAATGGTCTTGGAAGCCTAGGGAATATATAAGAATTGGTACACCCTATATATAGGAAGCCCATGGAAGTCCTATGCCCTAAGAGTCCAGTCGACGATTTAACATATGGAATGACTACCTGGACCTTCAAGGGGTGTCCAATCGAGGTCCCTTAGTAGTGTAGGAGCTTCCATTGGTGACCCCTTTGAAGGTGCTGGTAGGTGATGTTTTTGGTTCAACCCCCCCCGTCCCCTCTGACACGGTTTGACTGCCGTGTAGGCGCCCCCGTCATCTGATCTTAGGGTGATCTCCTCGCGGCCCGCGTGGCTGAGGGACTGCAAGACCGTGCCCAGAGTGATGCCGTTGTTCCGCCTTGACCGCTTTCAGCGCACCAGGCCAGTGAAGGACAAAGTTGGGCAAGTTTGGCATTAGCTAGAAAGCATTCATGCAAGTGTGGCGTTGTTTATGATGTTTATGTGTACTCCAATTTCACCATTCAAAGTTAAAAGCTGGGTCGAATAACTTGGATGTTGTCTGGCTCATCCAGAACGCTGGATCGATTGCGGGGCAATGCGTGGCATTTCGCCAGGTCTGGCCGTAAGGGTTCAATCCGATAGAACTGCGATGCAATTGGGAAAGCCAAACCCTCAACCGTGTGCAGGACAGAAACAAGCTTCCAATTAAAGAAAGTGTTTTTTGTATTTCAAACATCACATCGTCATAGCTAAGCTCCTCGCACCACAGAGTTTGGGTGGCTTTGTTTGCCACCTTCCAACCACCATGTATGTTCCTTCCAACCTCTTCCAACCGCTCGAACTCCGTGGTGTTTGAAGTCGCACTTTCTCTTCCACACCCATCAGCTGCGGCGAAAAAACATCAACCTCCGCTCTGACATCAAAACTGACATGAATCAACACTGATATCAAAAGGGAAGCTGAAATACAATCAGTTTGCTTTCTTTCATATCGATAGGAGGCTCAGATCCAATCAGCTTGCTCTTCCTTCTCCCATCCAGTTGGGCATCTTTCCCGTCTTCCTCCCTGCCGCCTCCCTCGCGTCTCGGTGACCTGCTCGCAGGATGGTGGCGGGTCCCCCCTGGGGGTCTTTGGTCCACGGTCCACGGCAATGCGGCGGCCCAAACTGTTCCAACTCGGCAGAATATTGATGCAAAATCCCAGAGATGGAGTGCAAAAACTCTTCTATACATAGAGGAGCTGACTCATCAAGTAGTAAATAACAGCTCGGTTGTTTGGGATTACCAAGGAATCCTAGACTTCACCTCCTCCAAGGGCTCTCAGGGTTCGCAGGTTCACTAGTTGAAGCTGTTGAGGCCAGCGGGGAGTTTGATGCCAGATGGAATGATCCTGAAGCATGTTTTCTTATACAGTAAGTCTTAAAAGATCTTGGATGCCAGAACTATGCCAAGCATGTTGATTTCTTGCTCTATCCATCCAGCATGGTGACATTTAACACCAAGCCTGACCTGACTCGCTGAGTGGTACTGGAATATAATGGTTAACCAAACTTTCCATCAGTTCTTGCTTTGTGGGTAGCTCCCACCAGTGCACTCGCCAAGGGGCCAGATGTAAAGCCCAAAACCAAGGACAGCAGCTGATGGCCGCGTTGTAGCACTTGCTCACATCCTCCCCTCCATCCTGCAAACCAAACCGCCACCATCACCGCGGAAAGTGCGCGTGAAACGGCGTGAAACGACTGTGGTGCTGCTATGTGCTGCTGCCCCTGCTGGGCGATGCGTCGATGATTGGATGTCTTCTGGGAACATTTGAGGGGGAGGAAGGGTCCAGTGCGTGGCTCTGGTAACTAGTCACCCAAAATATCCTCAACGGTCGATTTTCCGGAGCTTCATGTCATTGATAGCATTGGTAGGGTTAAGGATTATGCGGGGGTGCTGGAGGGCTTAATGGCCGTCGGTCGAACAAAGGTCAAAGGTGTCTGGGGTATTGGACATGAGGTGGATCCTCCTTGTATAGTCTACCAAGAGTCACAAAAGTATGCTTTTTAGTCCCTAAGTGAGTGGAGTAGCTGGGCGCCCCTATCCTCCATTAGGCACCCCACTCCTATGACTCCTGGTAGTTGAAGTTTCGAGACATTTCGAGACCAAAAACCTTCCATGGGCATGGGCATGTGATCGTGGTTCTCTGGACGTTGATCTGAAAAAATCTGAAAAACACATCCTGATCATTGGCAGAGTACGAAGGCTCTCCTTCCAACTGCTGCCTCACAAACTGTCCAAACATTTTGGACGCAAAGCGTTTCAACATCTAATTAGAGGGCCCTGGAATATAAACCGCCGCTTGGATTGTAACACCCCTTCATATGGGCATAATATGGGGGGTTGAAGGGGTTGAAGGTATATTCAAGCGTCTACACTACAGCAGGCCCTGCTGGACTTTCCCTCCCTGCTCCCGCGGCCTTGGGGACCCGCCGCAGCAGGGACAAGCTACGCTGCCAAAGCTTCGCGGCCGCGCAGGCGTCGAGCACCGCCACCTGAGTCTGATTCTTGGCGAGTGGATCCTGGCAGAAACCAAGAGAGGTTAAGTGACCTACCAAGAGGCCCATAACTTGGGGTACCCTGGCCTGGGATAGTGGCAAAACAGAGAACAGTCGGGATCGTCGGGTTCTTCAACCTGTGTTGGCCACCGCCGTCGTGGAACACGGCCGGATGGAATCCGCAGCGAAATGGGGTCGTGGATATAGGGGACTCAAAATCCTCAGGGAACCATCGGAAAGACCGCTGACGCGTCCGAAGGCCGTGGCCGTGTTTTGTTGGTCGAGTGGGTGGGCGGTGAGGAGCGGATGTCATTCTTGCTGCTTTCGTCTTTCAAAGGTTCTTCCAGCTCAAGCCGTGCCTGTCAAACCCCTTTCTACAGCTATATGTGTAACGCGGCCGCCGGAGCTCTGCCCAGCAGCCGGAGTCGCCGTTTTCTGGCGGATCGTATTGTGGGACACCCACTGCAAGTCCAGGCCCTTCACTAAAGGATAACTCCCTTCGATTGCCGCCTTGCGCGAGGCTTTTGGCATTGGAGCCCTCCAGCCCAGAGCTTTTAAAAAACATACAGCATGGCATAAAACATCATAAACCTAGTTCCCGACCATGAAGCTGCATGAATCATAAAATCATAAAGCTGCATGTGCAGATTTACACTTGGTTCCTAACATTTCCTAACCTGGTGGGGCACAAAACTCTGGCCGCGGTGACTTTGCACCTCCACTCCGTACTTCTCAAACTTTCTCAAAACCTCCTTGTCTGCTTCGTCTAGATGAGTAGCGTTGCTCTTCTCACAATATAGGGGCTGACCTCTTTCAGTCCATAAGTGAAAACCATAGAGCAAACATTTCCCTCATGCTTACAGTAAACTTTGCAGTTTTGCTTTGCTCGTTTGTTTTATGCCTCGACTCTGTTTAAACATCTACTCCGAACTCTACCCACCAAACCTTCTAAATGATATCTGCCCAGCACTGGGAACGAACCCATACACTGCGCGGGGCCCACGCTAATGGAGCACTCAAAAGCCAGCGCTGGTCCGTGGAGCACTCTCAGAGCTCGCAGCTTCCGTGGCTGTCCTCGGTTCATGCCCAGAGGCCCAACTCAAACAGCAAGCCACGGAAGCTGGATCAGGACCCTTCGGACCCTTCGCTTGCTCAAAGTCCACAGGCTTAGCAAAACCCATGGAAGACCATTTGAGCTAAAGACTTCAGAGAGGTCTCTCGACCAGTTTAAGCCTCTACCCCGGCTCCTGGCGGAACCACTGGTCACCACCGCTCTGTGGCCATGTTTCGCGCGGCGCGTAGAGTACAGCCGTGCGGCCCCTCCAGTGTGGCGCCCTCTGCCTCGGCCTCCGCGATCTGTTCTGCAGCACGCTGCTGCATGTCCTGCGACGTGCTGCAGGGCCCGAGATGTGGCGCAGGGTGTACCAAGTCCATACACTGCCAAAGGCCCAACAGATGGTAACGTGACAGGCCTGCACGGGCACCCGCAAGGGTCCTGATCAAATGTGAGCCCTCGAACGGTGACCAGAGCTCTTCAGGATGCATGTCAATTTTATATATTACATGTATAATACAAGTAAATATCAATATCGGGTGGGGTATCGATGAGACCTGCCCCCCCCTTCCAAAGACCGTCCAGAAAAAACAAGGCGCCAAATGTGAGTGTTTCCAGCATGCATGCCTCAACCACATGGGCAATGTCAATGGACAATGGTGCACTATATAACACACTATGGCTCATAACAAATGAAACAACTATTGAAAGTAGCCTGCACAAAGTACCATCAAAGTACCATCAGTATAAAACGATGAACAACCATCAAAGATCATCAAAGGACACTGCACAAGAAGCGACTCTGGAGCCCTAGTATCAAATATCAGTGAACCAATCATGGATAATCATGGTATGGGTTTTGAGAAGACCCTGCACATCTGAACCCCTTATTTCATCTTGCGGTAACTTTTGTCGGATGCTCCTCTTATTAAGGGGAGTTGTTGGACGCTTTGATTCATCCAATCCACCCCTCTCTCTCCGTATATATATATATATATATGTATGTGTGTGTGCGTGAAGTTGTGGCAAGCTCCTAGTGGCTCCCACCCCCGTCCCACCCAGTCCCAGTCACCGTCCCCCTACACCGTCCCCAAGTCCCGCCGCCCCCGTCGCCCCGCCTCGACGTCCAGGCCCCTCGGCCAGACCGAGGCGTTGCGGATTCGCCCCACCACGCCGCGGTCCGTCCACTCGGGATTCCTTCCGCTCGAAGCGTCGTTCCGCACGGGAAAGTGTCGGAGGGGGGGGGGGGGACGAAGGGGAGGTGGAGGGTTGAAAGTGTCGGAGGCCTGGAAGGTTGGTTGGTTTTTGGACGGTTTTTTGGTGCTGCACTTGTTTTCTGCAGAGGAGCTTCTCTAGAAGTCAGGAAGGATCTCAAGAATCCTGCATGCTCGAGAACGGTCTAGTGGTCAAGTCAGTTCGATCTGCAAGATCCTGTGTACAGTTCGCCTCAAGCTCCTTAGTTGTATGCTACAGAGCAAAGAAAATGTATGTCTGGTTTGTTTCTTGTTTTTGGGCCCCCATTCGCTGTTGCTTCATGGATAGTTACTACGGTTGTGCTCTTACGCAATGCATATAAACCGGCCATTACATTTGGCTCAAGGCACATCTTGCGCGATAGAATAGCCGCTTAGCTCGCCTTCGCTCGCACGCTCTTGTGAACCTTGCTAGCCTGTAAGCCGAGCCAGGGACACTGTTGATTACCGCTCCACTGCGGGGGATTCCACCCTCTCCCCTCCCCCCCCCTCCCCGCCCCTTGTTTCTTGTTTTTGGGCCCCCATTCGCTGTTGCTTCATGGATAGTTACTATTGGTATGCTCTTACGCAATGCGAATGAACTGGCCAGTAGATTTGGCTCAAGGTACATCTTGTGCGATAGAAAAGCCGCCTAGCGAGCCTTCGCTCGCACGCTCTTGTGTATACTTGTTAGTCTGTAAGCCGATCCAGGTCGACACTGCTGTTTACCGCTCCACTGTGGGAAATTCCACCCTCAAAGTGGTAGCGGAGCTTCGTTGCTCCAGAAAAACCCGAACTAACGGGTGTGCTTCGGCGCACCTTCGTTCGAGTCGAGCCGCTACAGCTAGCACACAATGAGCGATAGCGAGAGTTCAGAAGAAGGCCATGAATCAGATTGTTATCCAGATGGCAGCACGTATACTTATTATCAAGCCCAGACCGCAACAAGTCCAGACGCCGCTCTAGCGGCAGGGCATCGTAGGCCAGATGCATACGATGACTCCGAAGATCGCACCGACTTTCGCTGGTTTAACATCCTGGTTTGAGTATGAAGATTGCATAGATGATTGGTGCAGCCGCACACTATAAAGGCATGCTGGAGAACCGTTTACTCGCAGATGCAGATCATGGAGTTGACTACTTGAAGAGGACACTCCGTCCCTTCTTCATCAAGGACAATCAACATGTGTTTCTGAGCAGATTCCTTCAGTTGTTTCGACAATGGCATGGTTCGCGTGAGATGTTTACTTGGATTGGTCTTGTCGAAATCACCATGAGACGTTTGCAAAACGCATGGATGGACCTCTACCGAGACCTCCCAGCACCACAAACAATCGAGTCCACCAATACTTTGACTGCACAACAACGTCAAGAGATTGCAGCAATGGATGTAGACGACAGACCTGACGCTGTACAAGAGATTTGGAATCAGAGAACAGAAGCAGCCAAACAAACACATCAAGCCGCATTCCCATTACCTGGGAATTTGATTGCCATGGTATTCATTGTGCAGGCAGATTTGAATGAGCAACAGCGAGAACGCCTAGTACCAGCAATGAATGCACAAAATATTCCAATGGAAAACTACGAGTATCAGGCAGTCAAGACACAGTTTCTACAACTTTTCTGTGTAAGTAGAGCCAGCATTAGCGATCCACAGCTTCAACACCGCCCTAGCGGTCGTAGGCGTCGAACATACTTCATCGAAGAACACGGCACCATGGATGGCGAAGAAGGCTACTGGGTGACCGATGAAACCACCGCTGAACAAGGTTTCATGGCGCTGTACGACGAAGATCACTTTCTTGCGGTGAAGGCTGATGGACACGGGGAAAAGGAAAAGGTCAAAGAGGCCAGGTTTCAGACCCCGTGTTTGGGGAAAAGGCTATTTGCGCTTGACTTATGAAGATCGGACTCCTCCTGCCTTGGTAAGGATAAAGGCAAGAAAGGCAATAAGTCTTACACCCCGCAATGGCAACAGCCATATTACTTACGGAAAAGGAAACAAAGGCAAGGATCAACAACCTTTTGCAGGCAAGGCCAAGGGTAAAACTTCAACAACAGCTGAAAGCACCTCTTGGCAAGGTGATGTGAGTGGTGTAGGCACCGAACTGGGGTTACTACGGAGAAGACTGGTATCAGTCCGGATGGCATGATAGTTTCACTTCGTACTGTGTAGAGCACATCGAGTGGTCGGATAAGACAGACCGACAAGATGATATTTCACATGCACACATGAGAACGCTACAACCGAACTAACGGTTAATGCTTTCGGCACTTGCACAGAAGGAGCACACAAAGAAACAAAGTCGAACCTGACTTCACATGTGTCCTTTTGTGCTCAACACTCTGAACAATCATTTCTTAGTTCAGTGAGTGATTGATCTCAGCCGAGAGCCGACATTCGTGATTTTAGATACAGGACGCACGCGGTCGATGGGATCGAGACATGCCGGGAACCGTTTGATGCACGCATGTTCGAAACAGGAACCAAACCTCATTTGGTTCAAGACGGTACCATGTCGGAGTATGTTTACGTTCGCAAACGGGGAAACGTCTGTGATCACTCAGAGATTGGTCATGTACTTTGCCCGTTCTAACGGAAGTTCTGTTTCGACCGCCATAGACATTCTGGATAAGGGTATGGTTCCGATTTTGTTCAGTATTCAGCAGATGAGAAATCTTGAATTTGAACTCATGCAAACTGCAGCCAGAGAATTCCGAATTCCTTACTTGTTCTTCAAGCTAGGACCGTGCTTGCGAGGAGTCAATGTTGTCAGGTTAAACCAATCATCTATGCAATCTTCATACTCAAGCCAGGATGTTAAACCAGCAAAAGTCGGTGCAATCTTCGGAGTCATCCTAAGTTGAGAGGTCTCGGGAACCTGTGCTGCGCACGCATCTGGCCTACGATGCCCTGCCGCTAGGGCGGCGTCTGGGCTTGTTGGTGTCTGGGCTTGATAATGCGTAGTGCTACCATCTGGATAATAATGTGATTCACGGCCTTCGTCTGAAATCTCGCTATCGGTCATTGTGTGCTAGCTGTAGCGGCTCTACTCGAACGAAGGTGCGCCGAAGCACACCCGTTAGTTCGGGCTTTTCTGGAGCAACGAAGCTCCGCTACCACTTTGAGGGTGGAATCCCCCGCAGTGGAGCGGTAAACAGCAGTGTCGACCTGGATCGGCTTACAGACTAACAAGTAGACACAAGAGCGTGCGAGCGAAGGCGAGCTAAGCGGTTTTTCTATCGCACAAGATGTACCTTGAGCCAAATGTACTGGCCAGTTCATTCGCATTGCGTAAGAGCATAACAATAGTAACTCTCCATGAAGCAACAGCGAATGCACCAAGTGTTGTGCCTACCATACAAACGGAAGCTACGGTCCAGCGGCGACCACGCGCGCCGCATCTGCTCCGTGAGGCTCTGTGCATTGCGCCTGCCACGAAATCTGCACTCCAGGTGCACAGAGTGCTTCCAAAGCTGTTGCTTGAGGCACCAAAAGTGACAAAGCAAATTTATGCAAATTCAAGGGCTCAAACTCCTTCTTTGTCAACGATGCTCATCTTCCTCGCCTCCCAATCTCTGTGAAGCCGAGCTTGTAGGGCACGAAGGTGCCACGGATGGGCTTGGGCTCTCCAGCCACACCGTCCGCGAACCTCGGGTCGAGGTGAGGTGGGTTTTCAAGCCTGGTAGGATTCCTGGAAGAGACGCCCACATGGAACTCGAAAACGTCTGGTTGTGGAGGATTTCCTAGTCTTCCAGTCTGGTCCATGCCTTCAGGTTCCATGTAAGTCTCTTCCCGGGTGCAGGATTCCTGGCCCATTGATTTAACATGATGATCACCATGTCCGTTCTGGGTAAGGGGTTCTTATTTATACACATAAAGTGGTCTTCTATATAACTTCTATATATAGAGGATATGGACAGGATGATATGATTGAATGGTTTCAATCCCGAACTGCCGAGCTACTTTAAGGTGGGGGTATGGAACATCATTTTAGAGGTAGAAAGTGGGGATCACCGTCTGTCTGTTCATTTCCTGGTCAAAAACTAAAAACCGATCATGATCTTGTTGATTAAATCTTGGATGCTGATAGAAGCTGAACTGGTTTTCAGCTTGATGAATATGAAGACACGTTGTAAGCCACAACATGCCCGATCCAAACAACCGTTCATCTGTTCATGGAGCTGACACAATGCATGCAACAACATGCAATTCAATATAAAATAACACCCCCAACCTCAACCCCTCCAAGCAGGGGTGACATGAAACGCTTGGTAGTGACGACAACTCTTCCTTTTTCATAGACTACAAAGCCAGGTTGGTACCTTTCTCTTCATGGTTGGATGGACGGCTAGGGCCCCTCAAGCAATGCCGAGCCGCTTCCGAACTCGAGGTCATCGAACCACCCACGCAGAGATCTGAGTTCCTTTTCAGACTGGACCGTGCAGTAAACGTGCCTTTTTGTGCTCAGGACCCGAAAGGGCTGGTGATTTCTCATGTGATGTTTTCACACCTAGCTTCACTACCTGCTCTTGTTCCTCCGCCAAGGTGCAGGGTGAGGGTGTGCCGACCGGCGTCGTAGACCATGCAAAGGTGATGCCAAAAGCCCACCTTGCGCTTCCTGAGAAAAGGGGGGGATACCAACAAACGACCATGTCATGCATGCTCGTTTTTGATGGATCTCTGATTTCGATGGTTTTGGGTAGGACTTTGTCAGTTGCCTGTTATGAAGGCAACCCCCACAGAAGGCCTGGCACAGAGGGAACCTCATCTAAGCCTCTTCGGTGCCGGGCCGGGCAGTGGGTCACAGGGGGCACTGCTGGCTGATCACGGACCTAGCAGGCATGAGAGGCTCCTTAAGGGCAACCCATGAGGTTTCTGGCCAGGGTTTAGGGTTCAGGGTTTTAGGGTTTAGGGTATTAGGGTTTAGGGCCAGGGTTTTGAAACCCTAAGGTCTGCGGGGCCGTTTACTAAGATCTTCAGCTATATTTCTTGAGCATGCCAACGTCATGTCCTGTCCTCCACCTTCTTGATGTAAAATCTGAGAAAATACTTCACCTGAACCCCCTTCTCCGTGCTCGTTGGGCTCACGACCACCCTCCCCTCTGAGGACTAACTCGCCCAAGGCTCAAGGGTAGCATGTGCTCGTTGTGACCCCCATCAGTGGTGGTGAAAACGCAGTTCACACCAGGGCCTTCCACACGCGTTCGGAACGTGTGCGCATGTTCAAGCCGGTTCTGTGTGTGTTTTTTAAATCTGGAATTGAAAACCAAAGGTTGGCACCTCACTCCGGCAAGCTGCCCCAATGGAGATAGAACATTTGCAACAGAGCTTGTTTAACAGGGACTCATTGATTTTTTACTACATTTATTATGGTTGTATAGTTTTGCACGGACATTCTTAAAATGGTGCACCACTATCTTCAGTCAAAAATTTGCAGAGATTGGAAAAAATGCAAGGAGCGTTCATGGAAGGTTTCTGCTGCAACACCACGCCAATTGCCAGCTTGGTTCATCATAGTTGATGTATAAAAAGCCTGACATGTATGAGAGTAGGACGATCCAGGTAGGTACACTCTGGAAGTCCAAAGACGATTTTTGTGACCTATTTAAGTGAAGGAAGCTCCTCTTCGTGGCACCTAAAGACCATTTTCTTTTGTAGTCTGTGACTCCCAGAGGATCGGCAAATATAGCATACAAGCATACATGGAGTGTCTGGGTATATGCATGGACATATGCTAGACCTCAAGGACTGCGATGCAAAGAAACCATGCCCCAAACGGCGGCCAAAAAAGGGCCTCCACAGCGCAACTCCCAACCGGTGCCATGGCCGTGTTGGGAAATGATGCTGCCTCAACAACCAAGGATGGGCCACGAGAACAGCACTGGAGGGCGCTACGGATTCGCATGGAGGGCGCTACAGCACTTGGGATAACAGGCCAATATGACCAACATCGAAACTTTGGATACGGATGCACACCACTGCCTACAGCATCTCAAACCAGAAAGAACATCATTTTGCCCATACAGGATCAGCAATAGCGTATATAGCTTGCCTTTCCTTTGATCTTCGGCCAAGGGTTCTGCCTCTAGGCCCTGGATAGTGGTTTTGCAGTAACTCCCTTATGAACCAAAGGGGCTAAAGGGAGGTATGAATAAGGAACCACATGGAACAACACACCAGTAGTGGTCTCACTATCGAAACCTCAAGCTTCACTCCCAGCTCAAACTCCCCAGATTGACCAATCGAGTGGGGCTCATGAAGTAAGAAGGCCAGCCGTAAAAATGAATACACTCCCTAGAACTAACATGGTTACGTGGATGGCCTGGCTCCGAAAGGAAGACCATGACATCCTCTACAAACAGGGGGTGAACTCCAGGTAACCATGTGAGTTGCAGGGCGAGTCTTTGCAAAAATGGGTGATTTCACAAGTCCCTGTCCTTTTCATCTTGGCCCTCGCTTCTGCATGACTACACGGTGAATCCTCCTCAGTGGATGGAAAGCCCCGCCCACCACATCCCACCACCGCAAGACCCACCACCTTCCGCTTGACCGTGAGGTCCGTCCATCCACCAGTCCGAGCTCCGAGGTCCGAGGTCTGCCCGCGTCCTCCGCGTTCCTCCGCGTTCCTCCTCGTTCCGTGCACGTCCGTGCGCGTCGCGCGGGCGCGAGCGCGGGCGCGCCTTGGTAGTCAGGGCCCGGCCACTCGTCCAGCTTCACGGTGGCCTCCACGGCGAAGTCGTGCTCGAGGTTGGGACAAATGTCCTCCGCGAGGGGAGGAGCGCTTCGGGGGGGGGGGGGGGGGGGGGGGGGGGGGGGGCAGCCGGGGGGGGACCAGCGGTTGGGGCGAAGGGGTTGGGGGTTGAAGGGTTTAGGAAGACGAAGTTGAAGTTGACTGGTTTTTGCAGTCCAGCACGGCCCAAAGGTCTTTTAGCCCAAAGGTCTTTTGCTATTTTATCCACAGTATCCCCCCCCCTGGCCCATGAGTGACCATGTGCAATAACCATCCGCACTGGGTGGTGCTGAATGGACGGATTTGTTGAGTCAGGTTGTATTCCGCTGCCTGTGACTTTTCGGCTTCCATGAACGATTGCTATTGAATCTGGAATTTAATCTTCCAAAAATCAGATTCTCATAGACTCTCCTCCTGACATGTGCCCCTTCAAGGTCACAAGTTGTGGATATAAAAATGTCTCACATTGAGAACATGTGCCCTCCTTTCGCTCTATATTTTACCAAAATGCTTAGCAAAGACCCTCCAAAAGGGAAGAAAATCACCCTAAGCAAAACCAAAACTTCCAAGCTGATGAATTTGGACTAATTGGTAAATTCAAGCCGCCCATCCAGGAGCGGCAAAGTCTTCCTCTGTGCGCAGCAGCAAGGAGTGCCCCTCCCAGCCTTGGCAGCGACATCCTTCTTCACAGCGACATCCTTTCTTCGTTGGAAGACATCTCCAGAAATTGCAACATCTCCCAAGTCACCCACTTGGATTTGCGTCACAAACCAAAAATGCATTAATAGATGTTTCCAGATGTTTCCAGCATAATTAAGTGGCTTCACCCACTTCGGGAACATCACCATCACCAAAAAGAACCGCAAAACCAGCTCAGGACCAAGGTCATCGAATGGGCTCAGAACCTCCGGCAGAACCTCCGACCGAGCAGCTCAGGACCCAAACACCACCGACCTTCGGCGTTCCTGGCGCCAGGAAACCGGAAAATGTTCACTCACGGGGGGTGAAGAGAAAATAAATATAGTCATTCTAAGCAAAACCATGTCCAACATCCCAATGTTTCAAGGGCGACTGGCCCTCATCAAGCATCGCCCTTGTAAAACAGTTGGGGCAAGGGCGTCTGTGCTTGACCCACCAGCGGTGCTGAAAGAACTACAACACATGTGTCCGTGACATTGGTTTGAAGGCAGGCACACATACAGAACAGTATTTGCATGGCCGTTTTGAATCAGTTGCCCTTTAAACTGCCTTTTAACTATAGTAGGTTTTTTACTGACCACGACTGGTACTTTGGTCCACCGGCATCCCAAGAAGCCACGCAACATACCCAACTGAATTTCCATTGTTTGCTTTCTAGGATGGTGACCGGCAGAATGACTGTATATCAAACCACCCACCTACTGACCTCCCCTCAGTACTGACTTCCTCAGTCTCACCATGGTTCACCCAATCTTCCATCTATATTCGGTCTATCCAAGTCTGCCTGTAACAGTGAACCAAAAGGTTCACATAGGTTCACCATTGGTTCACCCAACCTTCCATCTATATTGAATCTATCCGAGTCTACCTGGGCCCAGTGGCATGATGATGGTTAGTAATTAAAGGCCTTGTTCAAAAAGAGTGATGTGCTTTTTTACAGGTCCTGTTACAGGTAAGTTCGGACAAACCCAACATCTATATCATCTGTTCTTGTTCAACGGGGTGTTCAATAAAGCCTCCACTCACTTCGGTTGCATCACCGGTGATCCACTTCGCTTCCTTCGCACGTCCCGCTCAAAAAACAGACCCAACCAGGCCGGGTCAGCCGACTCGCGCCGTCGCTGATGCGCACCAGCCGGCCGGAGTCCAGGTCCACCTGACGTTCCGCGCCGCGCAACGCCGGACCGAACCTCCCCCCCGGGACGGCGCGGTGCAGGAGTGAAAACAGTCGGGACGGCGTGGAAACAAACCAAGGAGTTGAAGGAAACAAACCAAAGAGGGGACGGGCTTGGAGCGACACATGGAACTCCACAACAGAAAACGGTTTTCAAGCGAACCCGAGGTTTTAGATCAATTGAACATGAAAAGCCTCGGGGCTAGTGCTCACACAAGGTCACTTGTTTTGCGTCTTGTCGCCCCAATGATTGACGACCTCTGTCTCCTTCGAACGTCCTGACCTTCCGAAGCGAGGCAACGCCTCGCCTCCGTTGCTGGCGCTGCGTCGGCGATTTCTCTCGGCGTTCACCTCACTGTTCTTCGCTCTCACCATCTCTTTTTGGGGGCTGAGGGGTGGTTGCTTCACGTTCGGCCTGGCGGTTGGTTTGAAGGACAGAGGATCATCTGCGCACAAAGCCAATGACTATGTGGTTGTTTTCTGGGGTCACAGCGTGCTTTCACTTTCCTGGGCCATGGTGGTGGTGTTTCAATCAACCCTCCAATGGCAATGTTTGACCATCCTGGTGGACCTGGTTCATGACCCAATCATTCCCCTTCAGAAAACTCACGTACCCCTAGTCTTCCAAGGCCATGGAGAAACAAAAACTGCCCGAACTGGGTTCTTGTCTGAACTCCTCAGTAGAAACAACATATTTAAATAATGCAGTTCTTCGTGGTTCCAACCCCAGCCCTGCCCTGCCGCCTGCCTGGACCCAGGGTAGCCCGCGCCTGGCGGAGGATCCAGGCGTCCGGTCGGAGGATCAGATGAACCTCGGAGCATTTGGGGCACGGCACCACCGGTGGCGTCGAAGAACGGTGGCGTCGAACGCACTGAAGCTATACCCAAACACGACCTGTCTGGGACTGCCAGGACGGACTGCCGAGAAACGGCCAGGGGTGGTTGACTGGGGGTCTGTCTGGGGTGGCAGTCCTATGGCAGTCCCATTAGTCGTGTTTGGGATGGACGTGGAGGTCCTCCCCAAAAAAGAGACCTTCTCGATGTCGCTTCCCCCTACCAAGGTGATTCACATCTTGGGATTCTGCGGTTTCTGGCCACCCGATGATGCGGATGAGGGCCAGTCGATCAGATTCTGAGGGCAGCAAAACAAACACCAAACGCCGACCCAACCCGATCCTCAGATGCGCGTATCGACGATGGTCCAAAAAGAAGCTACTAAGACCGACCACCAATTCCGATACACTCCATGGGACTGGCATATATGCCGATCAATTGACCCCCAAAACCACCCCAATGTAGGCATATATGGCATACGTGGAGTGTCTGGGATTTGATCTAATTTGTGATCTGTCCCCACCGCGCGATCCATGTTCGCTGGAGACGTTCAACGAGTCCAACGGGAGGGTGTTTTTTCCAGTCAGCTGTTCCAGCAACACCGGGGGATCACAAGACATATCATAAAAGTTAAACGTGTTCAAAGGTCCTCTCCAGCATGGAAGGTGAAGGAATTCCAAGTGCAAATGGAACAAAAAACACCTCTAAAATGCGTCCAACACACGATTCACGACAGTCATATGGGTCATGACTCTTTCTGTCTTCACTTCGGTTGGCGAAGTACGGCCGCTCCTGCGGGGTCAAGGGGCCAAATCGCCATCCTTCAGGTTGGCTTCCGTCAAGGTGTCCCCCATTCGAAGCGCTTGCCTGAGATGACGGGGTCACATTCTCCCCAAAGACTTCCGCAAGCACACCCGGAAAGAATGGAACCTGAAAATAGAACTTTGGGAAGACCATTTTCCTCTAGACACCAGTGGGTTTTCAGCTTCCATGTGGGTCTCTTCCAGGGCGTATTTGCGGTGCCTGGGCAGGAAGGTACAAACATGAATGACTACTACTACTACTACTACTACTACTCCACAAGAAGAACAAAATATGTCTCAGCCTAGTCTGACCACCAGTAGATGCGATGCAGTCAAACCACAAGTCATTTTGCCATCTGCCAGTGGGACCAGGGGCTTGGTAGAAGTAAAAAACATGTGGGTCACAAAACAAGCTATGAATAAACTTGATATGATATGACTCTGACTTCTATACATTGGGTCTATCCGAATCTACCAGGGCCCAGTGGATGATGGTTAGTAAAAGACTTGTTCCAAGATCGTGTTACTTGTCTACGGGTCCTGTTACAGGTAATAGGACAACATCGGACAAACCCAATCTATAATCATTACATCTTCTCTGCCTTCTATGTCTGATGGCCCGTGCCCCACCGAGGAGTTGAAGGGGTTTTCGACCGACCCGCAGCCCAGATCGACTTCGCCAGGATCAAGGGGCCCTTCGAGCGCCAGGCTCAAGCGTGAAGGCTTGGAGGTTTCGGTCTCCAGTTGCTGCTGGAAGATGTCGCAGAGCCTCAAGAACGTTCAAGTTGGATGTCTTTTTGGGTTGGCTCAGGGTGGTAGGAGTGCGAGTAGGAGAGGAGGACGAAGAGGAAGGAGTTGCACCTTTCACAATGTCTAGAGAACCTCACCTGGCAGGTCAATAACAAATGAAGTTATCTGAATCACCATCCAAATTGGAGGTGGCAGGTGGTTGAATCATCGGCCCTGCCACTGGCAAGTCCTAATTCTCCATCTCGCTGCAACGCAGGCTCTAAGCAGTCCATTTCTTAGTCCGGGTGAACCCTCAGCAAAGACCCTTGTGCTGATGGTGCACATACGTCCACATCAAAGAGGAACACGTCGTCGGTTTCCTGGTTGAACGGGGAAGAAGAAGGACCACCCAGCTGCGATCCCAGTAGCTCAGCGACGGTGGAGGCAGAGTTGAGATAGACCGGCAGCAGCCTTACAATCAGGTCCCCCGCAAAAAATAAAACTCGAAGTGCAAAACCGATGCGCTGTCTATTGACCGCAAATGGATCCCGTGAACAAAGCTCTGCTACTTGTTCACTTGTAATCCCAGTCTGCGTCCTGATCAATCCCCCCTTGATGAGTCTCATAGTCTCCATTTCCTCTTGGTTTTGATGCAACACTTTTGATGTTGCACTCAATGAAAACCACACTGGCCCGATATGATTTGGTTCCCATGAATGGAGTGACTCAGAGTGCTTTTGGGATTGGCTCTCAGCAGGCAATCATCTCGCTTTACTTACTTCCTGTCTTGCCTATGCTCTCCATTTGCAGTTCGGGCGGGCACCACAAGAGTTCCAAGTGAGGCGCGTTAAGATTGAAAGCGACCATGTCACCACTCACTGGTCGAGAAAGAAAAAGAACACATCAAACAATGAGGCATCATCTTAGGCCACCATGTAAGGAAATTGCAATGATTTAGGCCACCACACATAGGACATCATAGGACAATAGTAAAGACCACCCATGACTGCCCTAAAATTCCTGGCCCACCATTGATTCAATGGTTCTTACCAGAAATCACAGTTGTAACATATTGTATTATACTACCCGGAAATGAGATAGGAGTTGTGAAAGTATGGTGGGGCAAAAAAATCCTACGTCATCATGCAATAGCCTATACGCCAAAACTCCTATCTCATCAGGTCAAAACATACAAGAATGACCCTGGCACACACAAGTATGTTCACACATAAATGTTTGAGATTGCAAAGGTTTGAGGAGGTTTTTGACATTAAACCACACATGACCTAGGAGTATTGCGCCAACATAGCGTGTGGTAACTAGGAGGTGAGATAGGACAGCGTTGGTGCAAATTCCAGGGTGCCTACTTCCAAAAAAACTCGTGACCAAAGTTTGACAGATGCACTCGTCACTTCAGAATTTAGAATTATATCGACGGCCCCATGACCTCATGGCAAAAAGCCATAAATCTACAGTATTTGAGAAGAGGAACGGCCCAGTGGATGATGATGGTTAGGTGGCAGCTCTTTGGGTCCATATGGCCGGTATCTATTTAGTCTATAGTCAATGATGCAACAATCGTGATCATATGACAAACCTAGCTCCTAGTAACCCTAGTATGTATGTGTATGTATAAAGACTGGGGCGGCAAGACTTTGCACCTCGGCTGAACCGCCCTCAGCCCTCAGATCGGTCCAGCAACTCCTCACCCGAGAGCTTTTGCCCGTGGATGGTGACCATGCCTGGCGGCCAGGCGGGCGAAAAACGGAACGCCTCCCGAGGGATGAAGGTCCCCTACTACCAGCACCCGGCTCGCCACCTACGACCTTTTAGTCTGCATTTCAGCCACCATGTCGGAGACCTGTAGAGTCGGGTGCTGGTATATAGAGTCGATCACGTTTTTTTCACATGTCTGTTCTAGAGGTCCTAGGGAGACCTGATGGATGCACTAGGTCCAGGGCAATGCAAAAAAAAGGCTTATACAGTAATACACATCTATACTTATGTGTCTATATGCTCAAGGTCGGTGAGACCAGATTTTACTTGGCCCGACTGGACTGGTAGGGCTAGGGGTTTTCAGGGGTCAACTTCGAACCAATGGTGGCTCGAAATTGGCTCCCGGCCTTCCGTCATTCCACAGGACCTCCACAGGATCTGCCGCAGAAAAGATGGGCAGCTGCTCGCTGGGCGCTTGGGGCAAAGGCGCAAAAAGAACGAATCCCGTCCCAAAACTTGCTTGAGCTTTTCTTCTGCAGGTCTGCGGGAGCCGGATGTTTCATGATGTTTCATGATGTTTCATGTCCTCGTCCAATTTCAATTGACGTCTTGGGGGACATAGTTGGCATGTGGGGAAGCAAATGGCGGAAAGCACTGCTGATATGTTTTTGTTTTCCCTGTCATGTGTGCCAAGGCCAAGGGAGGTGCCGGAACTCGTGGTCAGTCTTGGTCTTGGCAATGTGTTTGCAAAAAGCAACGGCTTTGAGTGAAAACAGCAGCAGCTGAGACACATCAAGAAGCATGTGAGCCCTGACTGGTGGAGTGCGAACCTGACATGAACCGCCGGAATACCAATGCCGGTATAGAACAGCTAGGATTGGGTGAGATTCAGATTCGGTAAGGCTGTCAAAATCAAGTTTAGGGCTGATCCCTAAGGATCCAAGTACCCTCTGAGAAGGTGGGACTGGGGAGGGTCCAAGTACCTTTTGAGGAGGTACGACTGGATCCCTAGGGGATGATGATGCTTTCGTTCACGTGACCCCTGACCTTCGGGCCCCTTGAAGCAAACTTTTCAAACAGCGTGAGGGCTTGAACAGGACATATATGTATAACGGCCCGGTTCATGAGGAGTGCACGGTTCTTGCTTGGCCGGTGAAACCTGCACCTGAAACCTTAAGCCACTACAAAACCAGGTCTGGTCCTTTTGAAATGGTTGCACGGAAGGCGCAAAAATACTAGTGGTCCTCTGGTCCGGAACGTGATGTGAAATGATTCGGAACATTCCAATTCCATGCACTTCCAACCCCCTCTCCCTGCATCCCTCACCCCCTCCGAGCCACATAGCTCGAGGCCTCCAAACGCCGCCCGCCCGCTGCCGCGGCGGAAAAAAGCTGCATCGCATGCTGCCAGTGGCTACGGCAACTGCGGATGGCCGCGTTGAAGCTGATGATGTCGGGCAGCAGCTGCTGCTCCTTGGTGTGGAGGCAGCTGCTACCCTCAGAATGAGGCCCTACCTATACGCATCAATACAAATCCCACTCCAAGCCTTGTAAAATTCCATAAAAAGTTCTGCACCTACCAACCCCGACCACCACTATCTTCAACAATGAAACACAAGGGTGTGTAGATCTGCAAGTGGAAGGCGTGGCCACAAACAAAGTTTGTGTCTTTTCTTTGTGTTTTGTGTGCGACGGCCATCAAGAACATGAGCCTGAGCTGTGACTGGGAAGAACTCCACCAACATCTGGCACTCTGAAACCCACATGTATTATTCTCACGCCACATGTGCGACGCAAATAAATGCATGTGAAACATCGTGAAACCTCTCGGAGCTTGTAGAATGAACTCTTCATCCATGGATCGGGCATGCTGTCCAGCAACACCAAGGCCAGCTGCCATTCCTCGCCCTTCCTGAGAGTTTCAAGGTGGAAGGAGTTGCTCCACCAGAATGAGCCTGGGTTTAAGGGAACAGCAGGGAACATCTACAATAAAATCATTCGTATTGAATGGGTTTTAATATGTTTAACGGGAATTCTATTAATCACCGTATTGATCTTGGGGCCTTAGGTCACTAAGACCGAAGCATCTTCGTTCACCCGCGCCAAACCGCCAAACCAATATTGTGAGGGCAAATCGGTTGCACATCTGGAATTTCAACAAGCTCACGACTAACCAGTCTTGTTGACACCCTGGAAGACTAACCAGTTCTTTTCCGGTCTTCAAATGCTGGAATGCCATGATCAACAAGCTCATGACTTCAAAGCAGCTTGTACTGAGGCCCCAAGGCCTGGAATGCCTTGCAGCTGAATCAGGACTGTCGGACTGCTCTCCCTTTTGAGCGGAAAAAAACCTAGTGAAACATGTGTTCGAAAATCTGGGTTCACCACTGACACCACTTAGAATGAATCATGGAGAGCACATTCATCAAGCAGAGCAGGGAAAAACTCAACTCATGGGCTCAGAGTCCGATGCATGCTCCGAGCCTATGAGCCCTCCCATGCTCAGCCACTAGACTAGACGAAATGTTTTGCCCAAGGGTTGTCAACTCAGGTTTGACTTGTACTTTTTGTTGACCAGTCAGTTTCTTCCAAGCTGCCACTGGTAGATGTCTCACAAGGGGTGCCAACTCAAGTTGTGATGTGTCTGTACACAGAAAAGACCAATAAGTTTCTTCAATGCGGCGAGAAACTATAACTATAGTAACTATAGTATAGATGCTCCGTGATGTTTCCCAATATTTATTTACGCTTCTCTCAGTCTGCAATGGCAAGAGCGTCACACCTTTCTCTCCGCGTTCGCGTGACGTATTGGGGTTTCAGGAGGCCATTCGGAAAATTGAGGACCCCCCGACCAGCCCTGAAAACAAGGCGAATTCGGTCAAAACACCGTGGCAGCTCACCCATGTGATACAAGCCCTGTTCAAATGCTTCAACGGCAGGAACTGCCTCAGGAAACCGTCGCCAACTGCTTTCGGGCCTCAGCACGCGCTGTCAGCGTTCGGCGCTGCAGGGCGTCAGCTGTTGCAGCTACACACATGAATTGAGCAAGTGCATGCAAGTGCTGACTCCCTTCTCAGCTTTCCTGGATAATGAAGGTTCAAGGTGAGTGAACCACTGAGTTCAGGTATTCACTGACAGGGTAGCAATACCTCCAACCCACCGTTCCTCTCATATTCTCTCGCGCGTTAGGCTTCTGCAATTCGGTGGGTGAAGTTACCCAGCCAATGCAACATCTATACTACCCAACTGGGGCCGCATTTACTCCTCAAAATGCTTGGCACCCACTAGTGGGCTGAGACGTGCAGGTTCTTTAGCTGTGATCTGATGCAAACCACTCGCATTAGACTGATCTACTTGGCGAGGTTCCCTTTGATGCTTGCTCAGAAGCGCCTGAGACCGCCACCCACGGGGATATTGGTGAACGCAACATTGGCCGCGTCAACGCGGCATCCGATCGCGGCAACGAGGCACTCAACGAGCCGATCCGCCGGGGATCTTCGAAGCCGACCCCTTGTCCCATCTTGTCCCGGCCACGAGCATCATCGATACTTTCGATTTTTTTGGGTGGGAAGAAAGAAGGATCCAAACAATTCAAGAAGCTCTATAAAGATATGGCCCAGTGTAGTTGCACTGAGACAATCCAAACAGTTTTCAAGGTATTTCAAGTCTCCTTTCTCCATCTATCTCCATCATGCGCCCATCTACATCGCCACCTTGTGAGGCCCCGACCTCTTCATACTCCTGCCAAGGCTGACATCTTTGGAACAGGTGATGGAGAGCTTGGGCAACTACCAATCCGATCTGTGAAACTGACGTCTCTGAAAAGAGACAACATGGGCCCCGAAACAGCAATTAGGAAAGAGCCACCAACACGCATCAAAGCCAAATCACATAAATCACTTAGGGAAAAACATAATCGTAATAATGTATATAATCGTAATAATATATATATATATACATACGTGTGTGTGCGTGAATTAGTCTATATATACTGTATATATCTGTATATATATATATATATATGTGCGAATCTTATAGATGCATGGTGTTTCGGAGGCATCTATCTTTATCTTCCCCTTCCGGAAACCAAGCGCACGCCTCCAAGCGTCGAAGCATCTTCTTCTGGACGTCCGAGTTGCTGCGGCCATAGCTCCAGACCTCTCCACCTGCCGGCATCGTCCCAACAGCGCCACCGACTTCAGTCCGACCCCCGTCCGCCGTTTTCCGGACCTTTTGGTCCGGACGAGACGGTTTCGGAGCGAGACGCAGGTTTTTTTTGTCCCGATTTGTTTGGAAGGCAGACTCAGGGGGGCCAATGGATGCCGGAAAATCAAGATGGACCGAAGTGTCCAGCTGTTGCAACTCCCTTGCTAGCCTCTGTAGCTAGCTCATCGCTGACACTCTGGTCAGACGATGGAAAGTGTCCACCTGTTGGATTGGAGTGGGGGAAGCCAAATCCTCCAAAAAGGTAGGATGTTAAAGGTGATTCCCTGTTCCGGGTGGGGGGTGTTCAGTCTCATCCGGGACACGACTTGGGATAGTCTGTGGGCGACTCGATGGTTCCGGCAAAGCAAGAACGGAGACCCCCACCCTGCCTCATATAACTTTCCTCTGCTGAGTGAGAGGTTGTATGTTAATGTGGGACACCAAGAAAGGGGTTGGGGAGAGACCGGCTTGCTGTCTTGATATGTCTTGATGTCCTGTGGAATCCAACAAGTTCTGGGTGTCATAATAGATGTGTTTAAGGACACATCGACAGGACACCCCTTGTTCTCACCCCCAAAAACCACTCGGTGTCCTGCAGATTGTCCATTAATCCCCTCCTCGTTCTCACCCGAGAAACCATCAGTTTCCTGTACATGTTCCCTTCATCCCAATCCCCTCGTGTGTCACATATCGATCGCTCCAGGTCCCACCTTGGCTCTGGGACCTGGCTGGGGGCCTTCTTGGGGAAAAAACGGGCTGCCATGGACCAGAATGGATCAGACTACAGTGACTATAGTGACTATGACATGTTAATCAGTCCATCGCTCTACTGCAAAACCATGCAAAAGCTATCTGAGTGGATTTCGTGCACCCTGCCAGTTCCCAAAGATGATACGCATGAACCCAAGACCACGAAGCCGATCCAAGCCGTGCCTTGTCGCAGCATCAAGAGCTCCTTAGGATTGTGGAGTCAACGATCTTGAAGACTCAACATTCCCTGGCGTTGTTATCGTTGTCGTTGTCGTTGTCGCTGTCGTTGTCGCTGTCGTTGTCGCTGTCGTTGTCGCTGTCGTTGCTGTCGTTGCTGTGGTTGCTGTCGTTGCTGTGGTTGCTGTGGTTGCTGTCGTTGCTGTTGCTGTTGCTGTTGTTGTTGTTGTGGTTGTGACTTCCCTTCCAGGAACAAAATTCGCTTTCGGAACAATCATGCACTATCACTCAACGATTTCTACCAACATGGACATGGATCCTGAAAAAAAGAACTCATCCAACGTTTTACTGCAGAAAAAAAACACTTTTGTGGGCGCGCACGGTTTGGTTGAAATTTTAATTGTCAGCGGTGTCTGACTGTTCTTTTTGCAACACGGTGGTCCCCAATAGGCATGCGGAAACTTATTGCAGCAGGATCTGCAATCAGCTTCTTCCATGGGACTTGATCCCACACCTGGGGAGGTATCACCATATGATCCATATGGATGTCGCTGACCAAGCAACCCAGAGGTTGTCTCTGAACTCCCTTTTGCCAAAAAAATTGCATGGCCATCTCCCTCTTTTGAGCCCTACACTCCCTGAAAGAATCATGGTGATGTGCGGCCCGTGTGGCCCCCGAGTTCGGGGGAATCCATGTTTTGAATGAAACGCAAAGTGGCCGGTTTTCACTCCACTTCCACGTCCATGATCATTTCAGGACATCGTGAACCTTTCATGTCTTCAAGGCTCTGCCACGCGGTTGGCCACTTCCACAGGCCCCTCAAAGGCTTCTGCAAAGCCGGCAGACTTCCACATCTCCTCACACGAACGCAGCCCGCCGAGTGGAAGGAAGAGCGCTTCACACATTGGTGGTTTCACAACATACACATATCCGAAACCACGCAGGCTTGAAACAATCCTCCAAGCTAGAACCAGCTAGAATCCATTGGCCATGGGTAGAAACATGTCGAAACTCTGCTCGGATCCCTTTCAAGTAGGGTCATTTGACCCTCCTCTCTGGGGTTGGAGGATGTGTCGATGTTAACGTGGATGACACATCCCCCCTTTCACCCCACTGCAAACACCCGACCTAAAAAACTGTCTAAAATATCTGAATTTGTGCTACTCCCTGTCATTGGCACTCTCTCAAGTCTATCACTCGCCATGCCCTAGACCCCACAGTGGCGAAACTCCTCCTCCACCCGCGCCCGGCCGCCCTGGGCCTTCAGTCCAAAGGAAAGCTTGGCCAACACTGCGATGAGATCGTCGTCACCTCCACGTGGCGCGGCGGTCCCGGACCGGCCTCGACCAGACTGGAGTGCCGGGCCTCGACGAGTGTTTGGAGTCCAGGACTCCGTGTTTGCTATATCACCACGTGTGAAGAATGACTACCTGGACCTTCAAGGGGTGTCCAATCGAGGTCCCTTAGTAGTGTAGGGGCTTCCAGCCAGGTGACCCCTGCTGGATGGTGCTGGTATAAACCGAATGGTCTGACGAACGGGGAACTGAGTCTGGGAACTTCCTTTTCTTCAGCCGGTCAAAATATCGTCGAACTGGACTTCTAGGGTATACAGTATGTTCGTATATGTTCCAGAAATATCTTCCTACCTTATATGATGTTTTTTTTGCAATGTGTCTGCCTATTTTGGTTGCTGTTATAGATGAAAGGGCAAATACTGATCGCAGTTGGAAGATCCAGGTATGATATATATATATATATAATATAATAGTTATACCTATTGATTTGTTCACGCTCAAATTATTAATCAGGAGTCTCCATTGTTAGGGGGAGTATTACTATAATTAATGAAGAGCCAACATAACTATTCAGTATATGTACCCGGGCCTTCAAGGGGTGTCCTGTCTGGAGGTCCCTGGGCCGTGGTGGGCCAGGGCGAAACTAGTGAGGGCAGCGGTCCTGGTATATACTCTTCATGCTGCTCCTGCACTACCACACGATCTTTCGGCACCGTGAATCGCCTCCAACATAGCCCCCCCCCTTCGCCGAAAGCGGTCATGGCTCTTCACCCCAGTGTTCAGTGCAACGCACTCTCTGCAGCGTTGCAGCCATGGGGGGACCGCCCTTGGTGACACAGCACCGGAGTCTTGGTGACGACCTGATTTGGATCTCTTCAGGCATCCAACGACCTCACATGACCTCCCAGAGGTGGGTCAGAACCCTACTTCGACATCTTCGACTCTCCTAGTTGGGTACTGGTTTTCCGGGTCCTAGTGACCTGGTCACTGGCTACCTCTGTAGGTCAACCCCCCCCCGGTTCCACCGGATGGGCTTCGGCTCCTTCGGCGCGACGCCTTCGTCGCGGCTCTCGCGGTAGAGCTTGGCGACCGCCTGGCCGATCTCCTGATGCACCGGCTGCTCCAGCCACTCCTGACCAACAGAGGTGGGTCAGGACCCTATATAACCCGAACTAGCCTATAGCCTATCCCAGTTGGATACCCCAGTAAGGTCCTAGTTCAGGTCACTGGCTACCTCTCTTGGGACGTTTGCGACTGCGAAGCGCGACCACCAACGACTGCGCCACCACCGGGCGCCTTCGGTCGGAAGGCGAAAGCACTCATGGTGACTACACAGGTGTTGCCCGTTTGGGGCTCCGGGCTCCAAGTCGTAAATTAATATATATATATATATAATATATACACAAGTACCTCCAAAAGGAAGTCATGACTGGACCTTCCTGACTCCCACCCCAAACACCTTGAGAAACGAAGGTACTTGGAGCCCTAGGATTGATCACCTGAAAAACATGGAAGTCCAGTTGAAGTCAAAGACGTTCAAAGACCCTTGAAATGGGATCATCTGCTGTAATGTCAACCTAGGATTAGGGAACCCCCCCCATTAGTCTACCCAGCGTTCAGGCCCCTATAATAAACTAATTTGAACTATGAATTTCCACAGTCACCACCCTCTAATAAAAAATTTGTTTGGCTGAAACCCCCATATATATGTGTGTTTAATTAGTTTTGTTATTTTTGCCTTTTCAATATTTTCTTGTCTTACCATGGTGAAACTGATCTTCTGATTGATTACCAATGCTCTCCCAAAGCAACAGCTTTCCTAGAATTTCCAAAAACTCTCTAGGAAAATTCTTTCATTTTCCCTTATTAAAACTCTATCAAAATCTGCAATTTGAGAAGCTCAGAAAGGGTACCCCCCATACACCCCCTACCCCCCTCTAATAGTGGGGTACCCCCCCCTATTAGTCAACCCCATCCATGATGAGCTCTCATGGACCTCATGATGAAAGGGAATTAGTATTTGGGCTCTCATGGATCTCATCATTCCATCCCAGCTCTTCCAAATACTAACTCCCTTTCATTCCAATTCTTCCAAATACTAATTCCCTTTCATCCCAACCCTTCCAAATACTAATTCCCTTTCATTCCAATTCTTCCAAATACTAATTCCCTTTCATTCCAATTCTTCCAATTACTAATTCCCTTTCATCTCAATTCTTCCAAATACTAATTCCCTTTCATTCCAATTCTTCCAAATCAAATTCCCTTTCATCATCTCAGAACTCAAATTTGTGCCAATAAGCTCTCATGGATCTCATGATGAAAGGGAATTAGTATTTGGGCTCTCATGGATCTCATCATTCCATCCCATCTCATCTCCTCCTCCTGTCATCATCAGGTCATCCCCACTATTAGGGGGATGTGATCTCCAAAACCTCCAATCTCAGACCTTGTTGACCTTGTTGACCTTCTAGGGGGGGGGGGGGCCGTTGATTAATCCGACGTCGACATTAGCATACAACCCCTCAAACAGCTCGGTGTCTTGATGATAGTTTGGGATTCTGGCTTATTCAATCAATGGTGGTGTTCGACTTCTTGGAAAAAAAGGAAGTAACACACAGCACCCACCGATCCATCCACCCAAAACATGTCATGCGACTCCCGCACCCCCTTCACGCAGCTCTCCCCCCACCGGGACCGGTTTGTTCGGCCCTTCTGCTTCACCTCGTCCAAGTACCGGGCGATCACGAAGGAGAGCCAGGCGGGCTCATCTTCATCCTCGGATTGGGACCAGATCCACATAAGGGGCTTTATGGACCACACATGGACCAGAAGGCGTTTCTCACCCAGGCTGGAGACCAAACAATAACACACAAAGAAGAATAACGCACATCATATAGACCCAATGGTGTTTCTCACCCCAGTTCGGGAGAATCAACATCAACAAGCATCTCCAGATTTCACGTCAGATGTCAGCAAATGTCGCCAGTAATTCACAGGGACCATCTTCCCATCACCACACAAAAAGAAAACCCATCACCAAACTCCCAGGATCCATCACAGGCAGCTGCACTCCACCCACTGCAGTGTTCCTCACCGCCTTGCAGTCACCGGGGTCCACACCCTGGCCGCGTCGCGGAACGAAGGGCGGGTCCGCGTGCCCGCGGCACGAACGTGGGTCGCTGAGGGGCTCGTGAGACGCATGGCCACAATTGAAACATACAATAGACCAAATATGACCAAATACCAAAACACGTCTCCGCAATGAACTTAACAATGCATCTCCAGTTCTGGTGTTCTTCATCGAATCAAAATGAGTCAAGCCCCCAGTCAAGCCGCCTCACCTCACACGCCGTTCGGCTCAATAGAACCCCTTCGGCAAAACAACCTGCAGGGTCTCCTGCCTTTATGAGCCACAACCTAGCAACCACATCAAGCCAAAGTTGCTTGGGTTCGCTGCGGAATCCGGGGACGAATCATCTTCCCCGGAAGGGGACTCACCCACTTGGGGGAAAATACTGTAAACATCACGACTATCACCTTAAACGTAGTAGACTCTTGATCATTTAATAACACCATCGATATGAAGAGGCTGTTCAATCCCAAAAATGCCTTTATTGGTACACTGGCCTGGGCGCAAAGCCGCTGTCGAAGCCCGCGGCTTTTGGGTGCCGCGGCTTGTGGCGGCGCGATGAAGCACCAAGAGGCGCCCAAAGCGCCCAAAAGGAAGAGGCCAAGGCGTGACATGGCGGCGAGTCTTGCGAGTCTGGCGGGGAGAGGAGTCGGAGTCTCGGAGAAAAGGCGGGATGCAAAGATTGGTCTGGGCGAACGAGCCATTCAGCTTCTCAAGGGCTCCCTGCAGTGAGTGGGCAAATGTTCGTCGGTTTTAGTTGCGGAACGTGTGTGATAACATGTGATAACCTCGTCTGGAGCAGCTAGCTGCAGGCTGCCAAGATTTGCAACAAGGTCAAACGCGTTCCTGGGGTGTGGCAAGCACGAAGCTTGCAAAGGAGCTCGCCAATAACCACCACATCAATTATAACCCGGCAAACCCAAAGAGAGCTTGTTGTGCAAGTCCAGTCGCCTTTTCACAGGATTCCAACTTCCAACCACAATTAATTTCGGTAAAGTAATGTAGGCTTTACCGAAAAACCATTGTTTTACTAGGGATCTTCCACTACAGAACCAGGTCAACCTTTTTTTAATGGTCTTGGTAGAATAGTAGTCATGCTGTAATTTGACTGATATATATTGGATTCTTGGGACAACAATTGAAGCAACCCTCCATTGTTCTTCACAGCCACCCAGATTCCATGGAACATGACCCAACACACTATTGATAGTTGTGGTTTCTAGACATTGCAATCCGATTTCCATTCCATCTTGATTGCCCCCATCCACCTCCCACGTGGAGTTGTGTGTATAAAACATGAGCGGGAAAAAAAAACAGCAATGGGGTTGTGGTCTAATGCGGTCTATGTTCCTCCTTCTACTATTACGGGGGGTCTTTGGGAGGTCTTCCGATTTCCCGTCCTTAGGTCCTTGTTCTATTTTTCTGGTTGGTGTTTTCAACCCACTTGAAAAATTTTAGTCAGGGGGTCCAATCATCCCCAAGTAAGGGTTGAAAATAAACATATCCGAAACCATCACCTATTTTTTAGTTTGCTGACGGGGGTGGGGTAGGCCAGGGAGGTCTTCCCCACATGTTTGCCCCCCCTGACTTGCTGCTCGTGGATCGCACATGCACTGATGCTGGCATTGAAGGTGATTGCATCTCGATCGGTGGCTGCATGCCTCTGATCGATGGCGTTGCGTCAATGGTGCCGATTTATACGTCGGGTGAGGCAAATCAACCGTCTTCGAAGGACTTGTGTGGGAGATTGTGGGAAGATCCCACCCAAACATGGAGAATGGAAGGGCTCAGGCAGGAAAGCACTCTCTCCCACAAGCCAAGCCCGGACCAACCAAAAGTATAGAGGTTCGTGTTCTGTTCTTGTCCCTCATCTGCCCTTGGCTTGGGGCCCTTTGAATCCCAAAGATTTGCTGTGGAATTCTGTGTGGGCCCAAAAAAGCTTGCCGCAGGAAGGCCGCCCACCGGAGCGCCCGGTGGATTTGCCCCCGGCAACTGCGCTCATCAACTCAACTGAGCTGCAACAACAGTAGCGCCTCTTGCCAGCAGCTCGCCTTGTCACATGCGCTAATGGCCGAGTTGAAGCCTCGAGGCTGCGAAGAGTGAATTCCGAGCAGTGGCCACCAGTTTCGACCCCCTGCCACCCCTTCAAGTAAACGGGACTCCTATGCCAGCATTATATTACATATTATAGTAGATTCAGTAGATCATTAGGTTATGATTGAAATATTTTGAAATATTCATTATACACACACCTGGGTGTAGAGGAACATGCTCATCCAGAAGGCCATTTGCCACTTCCATGACTCTTCGAGGGAGTGTAGCATCAGGAACGTCTTCCAAACAAAGGCCCCAAGAAACCCTCGAACAGAGTTCAACATGGCTTGTGCAGAGTGTGAGTTAATTACCATGGAGGAAGAAGATATTCAAATCGAGGGAAGGGCATGGAATAGCAAAACCACCGGCTTTGGTCAATTGTATTGTTTCAGGGGTGCTCTCCGCACACATGATTCAACAAGTAGAAGTAGACTTATTGCGCTCCAGCTCTGAAAAGAACCAAACATCCAAGTGAATCCATACATATCTTAGCCAGCCCGATGACCAAAAGCCCCAAAGGCAACAACAACAACAACTTCGACAGCCAAACACTTAGATACCTTAAGACATCTTCAGAAATTGAACCAAGGCACTGTCTTCTACAAGTCGTTGCTGGCTCTGTCTTCTACAAGCCTTGCGCCCCCACTTCCTTTCCAAAACCACCACCCTGTGATGTTCCTCGGACCGGTGCAAAAGGAATATATAAGATAACCCATACACTCCATGGGACTGCCATATATGCCTACATTGGGGTGGTTTGGGGGGTCATTGACCTCTACATTGACCCCCTGAAACAAGGCCCCTGGAAGTGGAACAGTTCGGCCCCTGGAAGATTTTTCCCTCTACAATGTTACAAGGGGGTCCTGGTCAGCTTTCATGATTGTTGGAGGGAAGGTATTCACATTATATAAATTATATATATATTCTCCCAAAACCACTCCAAACCACCTTGGACATTGGAGATCTCGATGCTTTGCCGGGCAGCTGATTGTGTCCGGCAGAAGATGATGCTCGAGCGGCATGCAGTGCCTCGAGCCGAAGCTGATGCTCTGATCATGGGAAGTTCCTTGAAAAGCATCGCCTCCAACCAGCGAAAGATTCAATCTGAATGCGCGTTCGACTGAAATCTGACAATTTCACGTTTAAAAACATTCTCAGAGCCTTCTTTCCGGGTCACCAATAGACTACTTGGCCCGCGACTTATGAACCTCCAGCAAAGACACCCAGGCAGGATGATGCTGGTCGGTTTTGGTTGGGTGGTAGTGGTTATGCTTTGGTTAGGCCGAAGAGCTCCAGAAGATCTGTTTCAAGCTGGGGCAAAAGCTGGTACCTGAACGAGTCTGTTTTGTCCTTTTGATACCTGGATTATTGCATGACTTCGGATGAATGCAATCTGTTTTTTGGGAATCATTGCAATTGGTTACTTGGGTGCCACCTTCCAAGTAATGACTTTGCTTGCTGGCACGCTGCTCCTGATTCAGGGAAAGTAGACCACATATCCAAACTGTTTCTGATGCCAAAGAACCATTGTTCCACATCCCCATCCCATCGATCACTTCGTATAGAAAAAGACTGGTGCTTGCTACTCAAAGTGCTGCAACTCCAGATGTGATTTCCAGTCGGAAATCAGGGCTGCCCGGTGGTTCACACCAGAAGCTTGGGGGGATCAACCACAGCAGCACTGCCCTGGCACTCCGGTGATCCGAGCTGCAACAAGTGGAGGGCCACTTGCCATTGTTGAGCCTTCCTCGTCACGAGCAAATGTCTGGGTCAAGTCGACATGGACCATGGCACCATGTGTCAGAAAATCTTTAAAAAAAAAAGGAACAGCTTAGGGCATGAAGTTCCTCAATGGAAAAACCACCTCCACAGTGGCAAACACAAAGAAATGCTTGCCCAAGCGGTCTTTTTTCCTCAATGCAGCCAAATCGGCGGAGGTCTGCGCCGTCCAATCCAACCATCAGCTCCTCAATCCGCCCAAGCAGTAGCAGCACGACCTGCCACCATCCGTCCTGCGCCGCCCTTCAAGACATGCCGAGACTTTCCGCCGTGATCCCGAGCGGAGCGAAGCCCGAAGACTTGGCACGACCTCTGGTCCGTCCTGCTTTTTCAGGAGCACCTCTTATGGAGGCAAGAGGAATCTCCATCTCCATAGGATCTCTCGAGCAAAGCCACTTGGCAACATGAACTTGAAGATGCGTTGAAGGAGCTTCTTCCCAGCAGCATGCCGCTGGAACTTTTGAGAACTTTGCCGCTTAAGTTCAGCAGCCTCGTGGTCCAATTGATAAAGCTCCAGTTTGATTTCCTGCACTTGGTCATTGATGATGGAGTCATGTCGAAGCTGTTCTTCTCTTGCTGACTCTTCATGAGTCGCCCGCCGCTCCTGTGCAGCAGCCAACTCAGCCCGCAGAAGCTCCTCCTGCCTGGTCACGGCCGTCAGTCGTGCCGTCGCCTTCCCCAGCTGCTCCGTCACGGCCAGATCGGCACTCTGGAAATACTCCGAGAGCTTCTCCAAAGAGGCACGCCCTTCGTCCCCCTCCTCCGCACCCGGTCCCCCACCTCGCTTCCGGTTGGACTGCAGCCGCGCCTGGGCGGCGCGGCGGAGCCGCTCCGAGTCCCAACGCTCCACCTGCGTGACGCCCAGCTCCATCAAGGCCACGAGGCCCTTCCTCTTCGACGCGTCGTCGGCGAAGCCGAAGCCCGCCAGCAAGTCCTCCTCACATTCGGCCAAACGGGCCTTGAGGAAATGACTCTCAGCTTCCAATTCATCCACCCAGGAGGGGGAATCGTCCTGCGGCTCGCCGGCCATGGAGGTTCGAGTCTACAGGTTCCTTCAAGTTCGGGTCTTCAGCTGTGAGACGCAACATGGACGTATATTATGGCGGGTGGGTTCTGATGAATGTCTGACCGAAAGGTCCTTTTAGAAAAGGGCTCCGTCTACTGTGGCTGGTTGCGGCTGGGGTGCCAATGTGGTGAAACTTGAACGCCTGAGATGCTGGCGATGTAGTCGGATTCTTCGGACCAAAAGAGGATGGTTTGGCATCGCCGACGAAAAGGGGACAAGTCGAACTTCGGGTTACCTAGTCAAACCATTTTGGTCTTTGACACCCAGGGTAGGACCAGCTGTATGTGATTAACTTCTCTTGGTCAACCACTTTGCATGTGAGATCGTCAGAATTCTGAGACACGACTGATGGGACTGGCATATTTACCTACATTGACCCCTTTTCAACCACCCCAATCTATAGGTAAATATGCCAGTCCCATCAGTCGTGTCTGGGGAATGAGCTCACTCAGATCAAGGTAAGACTCAGTTCGGTCACCAGGGTGGCAACCCCCAAGCCTTCGGAGCGTGTCGAACGTGTCGAAGGTGTCGAACCCATCGGTCAGGCTTCAGTGGATTTTGGCTGTATTTGTTGAAAGCAGATGTAGGTGCATGATTATAGTAAACCAAAGGGACCAAAGTCAAAGGGGAGGAGAAACCAAACAGAAAAAACACACCTTCCTTCGTGCTTTCTGCTTTCTCTGTCTCGCGTACACCCCAACCCCCAAAACCCGCCGCCGTTGGTACCGCGCGGCTCCGCGGCATCGATGGCGGCGTTCCAGCCTTGCGTGAGCGACTTTGGAGTCGCTCATTCGCGGCTCAAGTTTCCAGCCCTTGGATGAAGTGACCGTAAATAGGATCCGTCACTCGGGGTACCTACCAGCACCTTCAAAGGGGTCTAAGGGACCTCGATTGGACACCCCTTGAAGGTCCAGGCATGCATATATGGGATAGTCTATAGGGTCCTTCAACCTCTGTTGGCAGCCCTTGGCAGTTGCGGCTTGAGGAACCTGGGCAAAATATTCACCTCCAGTGCCCGGGGTGGTTAATGGATACCCCGAATCACCTCCAAAAACGGAGCTATTTCATTAAACACCCCAAGTTGCGGGGGCGCTGGCAGGGATTAAGAAGAATCACCTGATCAAAACCAGGCTCAAGTTCCAGCTCGGAGGATGGTGGCCCGGGAACATGGGGCGATCTGCCGCGATACCGTTCCCCCTTGGTGGAGAGGTAATACGGGGAAGTTGAATGCCGTGGGGGGGAGAACGGAGGGTCAGGGTACCAAAATAAAGGAGTGACCTCAAGATCGTCCTTTTGACGGTGGCTCCTTCCTTAAAACATCTTAAAACGCATATTTGGCTGATTTTGGCTGGCTCAATTCCCAAGTGTGTGGGTTGCGATGTCTAATATGGGTTTTGACGAGTTGAAACGAGTTAAGAGGCTAAGAGGGGATGTGTCAATCCTGAAGTGGACTTGACCCACTCACTCTGCCAAGGACTATATCTGCTTTCATACCCGACTTCCAACAGCTATATGAACTATGTGCTATCAAAAAATTCATTGCATTGTGGCGTACAGGACATGTGAGCTCAGTGAGCGCCACAAAGTTGGTAGTATAACTTAACTGACTAAACGACATGACAATCATTTGGTTGGTCTGCCTCATGCCTCATGACAATCACATGGATCTGAAAGCCAATCTTTTTTGACCGTGACACCTCTCTATATACATCTGTGGGCCAGTCGGGAACTTGGTCCGTCAGCCTGACGGACTTCTGGTGAGACCTGCGAGTTGACCTTCAGAACTGGGGCCTGCTGACCTGTCCTGCTGACCGCAGGCCCCTCTCAAAACCCACGGTCACCCAGTGTCACCCTGCGGGTCTCCCAGGCGCAGGAAGAAAAACAAACAGGCAAGCATATTGGAACTATAGCCAGTGGCTTCTTCGAACTCCGGTCGCGCATCGCTCCGAAGGGCTTCCCGGAAAGGGGAATATGAACCTGGATACCTCCGGCTCCCTTATCCACCAGCTACTAAGGAAACACCTAGCATATCCCTTCGGTATCCCTTCGGCCACCGGTCTCCACTGCGACCACGTCGCACACCCTCCACACTGTGGCCACCCCTGCGTCCACCGGCGGCGCAGAGCGCAGCAGCGCGAGCGCCTCGGCCCAGCAGGCTGCGCTGGCGCAAGCGCTCAAGGCACCAGCAAAGCCTGGGAGAATTGCCCGCTGGGTATGGCCTCCATACCCAGTTGCTCCTCAGTTATCACTTTTGTCTTTGGTATGGAAAACAAAGAGTTCCTCAGTGGGCGTCCCAAAGAAAAGAGTGGTAACCCTCCCTCCCTTCATTGGGGACAACAAAAGGTGGCATTCGGAAGACACAACAGGTGGGGTTGGATGTTTGAGGGTGTTTGGCTCTTTCATGTGATTTTTGGACACTCGCCAAGTAAGCATACTTCACCACATGAATTGGCCATCCTCATGCGCAAAACATTGGATTGGATGGAAAACTCTGCCGGAAACCATGATCGACACCCTTATGAGTGTCCTCTAAATAGTAAAAACAACCTAGCGCTTCCAATGGGTGCTCTGTCTGGAGGCCTACAAGTAGGGTGGGGTATAGCCTATTGGACACCCATTGGATGATCTCGAAAAATAACACATACACACACACAATTCCCTGGACATTATGCCGTTATCCCAGGGAAAAAAAGAACAATTCCCTGGAAGTACCGTTTTGCCCAGAGTTCATCAGCTCCTTGCATATCCGAGTTCCAAGGCTCATGAAATGACTCATGACTCATGTGGACTCATGCAGTGCCGGGGCTTGTGACTTGCCACCCAAACCCAGACACTCCATGTATGCCATATATCCCTACATTGACCCCCCAAACCACCCCAATGTTGGCATATATGGCAGTCCCATGGGTCGTGTCTGGGAAAGAGAGTGTGTGGGGAGCGAAGCCGCCTCCTGGCCCTGGCCCCATGGCCCCAATGAGTTGTGGATGGTTCTGGTTTACTTTCCCACCAATTGTCCCTCTTGCTAGGGGGGTCGAAGTGGCCTCACATCTTGTGGTTTTGTTATGGCACTGGGGGCCCCGAGGATGGCCATCTACTCGATGGGGGTCCATATAAACACCCAACTTGGGGTAACTTGTACCTAAGAGAGAAGAGTCAGAGCTCTAGGTGGCCACTCTTAAATCCACTCTACTCTCTATCCACTCTACTCTCTCAATCCACTTTTTCAGAAAGAAGAGTTCTAGAAACACACTCCCGTGGCTCTCACAGACTTAGCTGTATATCACCACAAGCTATTTCTGGTTGGGAAAACACATGGGTTTTTGATGTAAGGGGGTAGACTGGGGGTTCCGAGGTGCTAGTGTAGTGTTACGTAAAATCCTTCCCATACACTCCATGCGACTGTAATATATGCTTACATTGACCCCCGAAACCACCCCTGGCCGGAACTCTCGGCAGTCCGGACTGGCAGTCCCAGACAGGTCGTGTCTGGGCTTGGTCAAACATGGATGTCCGTGATGTACATGGTGCTTCGACTTCGACTTCGTCTCGGGGATCCCAACCACGGCGAAACCCAGGCGGCGGTCGCTTCACCGGTCGCCAGCGCAGAACCTCCCGCGGTCGCTTTAAGGAAACTGCTGAGGCACAGAACCTGCCAGAACCTCGATTTTGTCGATCCAAACTGTTCACCCCCAACGGAAGGTTGGGCATGTGAGATCCAAATAAAGGTCCACTGAGGTATAGGAGGTATGTCTAAGGAATTTAGATGTGTTGATGATTGGAATCGGCCCCTGATGGTCCTGATTTGAATAGATTGGGCAGGTGGTCCACCGACTTGCTGGTAGATGTCCCACAACGCCTGTCCCGTCGCCAGCCCCGACTCCACACTACAGCCGTTCGGACTAAGGATGTCTAAGGTTAAGGTTATCCACCGACTTCCTGAGTAGCTTGATGATGTTGAGCTGTGGCCCGGCCCTGCAAGCTTCAAAATTGTTTGCTTGAGGCCTACTAGGTATCCAACCCTTTGCCTCCAACCCTCCGCGGATCCCGCGGACCTCACGCTGTGCGATCCAAAGGTCCTATGAGGTCACTACCTTCAGCGAGGAGTGCGATGGCCATTTGCCATTCATGCGCCTGAGGCGGACGCAAGAAGGGACGAGATCAGACCAGTGGTGGTGGCGGTGGTGGCGGTGGTGGTGGTGTTTTTTTGGCGCATTTTAGCGTGGAGTCGTTAGGTTGGTTCTATATACCAAGCGGATACAGCGATAAGCAACAACATGATCTATAACTCAAGATTGTTCCGAACCTAGCACATTTAATAAAACAAATCAATTCATATATATATATATATATACAAATCCTTGACGGCCTCACAGCTGCCCAACACCGTTTCGCTCTTGTTTTCACAGCGAACACAAAGTGCAGCGCCGCAATGAAGACGTCATAGCATGCAGCTCCCGTTTAACGGGGGACCACCTCTTGGTTGGATGCCTCGATCAACGTATGTCAAGTCTTCTCAAAGCTCTGCGATGCCTCATCCCATAGGACGGGCTGGCCAGGGGGCAAAGAAAAAGATCTTGAGAGTGAAGTTGCGGGCATCAACCAACCTGAAGGATTTAGACCAGTTGGTTTCAACTCCAACAAATCCTTGACGGCCTCACAGCTGCCCAACACCGTTTCGCTCTTGTTTTCAAAGCGAACACAAAGTGCAGCGCCGCAATGAAGACGTCATCATAGCATGCAGCTCCCGTTTAACGGGGGACCACCTCTTGGTTGGATGCCTCGATCAACGTATGTCAAGTCTTCTCAAAGCTCTGCGATGCCTCATCCCATTCCCATACTTGAACTGGAGTTCCCGCATTTTCGCAGGGATTGGAGCAGTTTGCTCGGAAATGCCTGAGATCGTTTCTCGATGGTTCGCCGGCGAGAAGCATGACAGTGTTTCCATGCCCCGATGAGAAGTGCTGATTTTTCGTACCGCAGGACGCTAGCACGAGCATCCCATCGAATTCGCTTTTGCACCTCCCCAAGGGAGCGTCTTTTGAAGAACATGTCATTGCTGGCCCCTGCATGCCGCAGTATGTTTGGCATCACACATGGAACTGAGTATTTTAGAAGCGATCATGTTTGCTTACACCACTGTTCATATTCTTGCAGACCCAAAGACTCAAAAAGGAAGGTGCCTCTGTTACGAGTGTACAACCGAAGCACATCACCAATCCAGCTATTGTGTTTCAAGTCACCAAGAATGATGGAGTCGTCACTCTTCCCAACTTTTGTTGTCTGTCCCAGTCCAGATGGGGCAATGATCACGCCCCATTTGGCATAGCGTCTTCCAGCTGGGGGAGTTATGTGGTGAGAGGTCAAATTCAGAACCTCCGAAGGCCTCATGTACCCATCCAGTTGCAATGCCATAACCACTGCAATGTCTGTACGACCCTGGTCTATTGCTTCAGAAGCCAGGTCATAGATGAACTCTTCTGGAACCGGAAGTTTCATACGACCTGGCTCTCCTTTTCGCCAACCGGCCAGTGCCTCTTTTGCACCAACCAGAAAATCTTGTTTGTTTTGTTTGCACCTCAAAAGCTGCAACCCGTATACCAAATAAGTGCCCGTAGATATAGGTTGTTTTTGTTCATGCAGTTCTGTCAGATATGCCGTAACATGTCTATCCAATGTTTCTTCTCGAAGCCGGCGTTTGTGTTGCGTTGCCCAAGCCTCAAAAACTGCGACAGAGGATTGATACCGATCAAGCGTTTTCTGACTCACTTTCAGACACTTCAACCGAATGTCAGCAGGCAACTTGTGTCCTTTGAGGTCCTGGCGAGGCTTCATTCGCCTTTTCTGCACTGTCAAAGCGTCTTTGCTCTTGCTCGATTTGTTCTTTTGTGAACTGCCCAAAGATGACTGGATTGTTCTGGATGAAGTTGCTGGCTCTTTGAAGATTGAATTGCTCCCGCTTCTCGGGGTCATGCCATCTATAATCGATTGTGGCAGCCTTTTTAGTTTGTCCACCGCCGCTTGAGACAGCCTCCGAGAGCGCGAGTTTGAAATCATTCTGCTCAACCCATCCTACCCCACCAAGGCCTCTCTTAGGGCACACTCGCTTGAGAATAGATGCCCAAGCTGTGCAGAGGTCGGCTGGGTACGCTCCAGCGCCAACTGTGCGGTTTCTAGTTGCGCTGATTCCCCCAATCCTAACCCTCTCCGTTCCTTTGAGATGAACATGTTTGTGTTCTCGGTTGCAACGCAATCCCAGTTCCGCCAAGTCCTCCATGTTGGTTAACAAGGAGGTACTCTTTTTATGAGGCATCTTGAATGCGCACATGTCCCACGTCACAAAGAAAATGTTCTTGCATTTGAACAGATCTTTAATAGGTCCGAATCCCCATAATCTGCTTGAAGCCGGGTTCTCAAGGGTGAAGTAAACACGATTGCTAATGCAACAACGAATGGCTTGTGCTGTAAACAGTGCAAGTACAACCCCTTCGCGTTCTCGTTTGCGTGCTTTCAAGGTGTTCCGGATGTTGTGACGCGCTTGTGACCAGACAGTGCATGGAGTGCCGAGGTGTAAACACCAGATATGCACCCCCTTAATCAAACTCATCACAAACAACTGCACCACAGGATCCAACAAGTTGTAAACTGAACCTTTAGAGATATCAAAAGAAGGATATGCGCGCATGCCGCTCTTGTGAACCATAAGTGACAAAGTTCCTTGCCCACTAAACAGCTCCAGAAATCCACACTTTGACTGTAAAGGGACATCCAGACGACCCAGTGGCCTGCTGCTGAAGGACTTCTCTCCCTGCTCCGAAGAGGATGTGGCTCCGTTGCCACCCAGGTGAGAGGAGATCTTGCTGTAGCTGGCCTGGGAGTCATGGTTGTCCCATTGTCTAGAGGGTTTATCTGCAACATTCCTGCGGGTTTCTATGTGTCTCAATCGCCACTGTATTGAACTGGCTATCTGATAGGCGGCTGCTCTGCGACACAATGCATTGATACCTCCACTGCTTGACCGCCCCTTCTCATATGCAAGAACTGTTGTCATATTGTCACAAAGTGTCATGCTTCCCGTGTCCATGTTGTGAACTGATCTGCACAAACGTCTGAGTGACATAAGGGCGACTCTAGCTTCTTTTATGTTGATGTGCTCTTCAGGGAAATTCCATGGCCCGCTGCAAACTAAATTCCACCGATCCTCCTGTTCCCAAGCTCTCGCCACCGGAGGTATACCAGGTCCTTCCAAGACCCGTTCCTGCGGCTCCAAAGGTTTTCCAAAGATCCGCTTTTGTTTCTTTTCTACTGTCCAGTTTGTCTGCTAAAAATTTCCCAAAAACTGTCTGTGACCCTAAAAGCTTGGTCTGCTGAGTGTCCATGAACTTTTAAACAATCATCTGCTGTACGCTGAGGTTCTGAATCTCCCAAGAAAAGGTTGCTCTCATCGGGTTCCCGACTAACAATAAATCTCCACTTTTCATGATACTGCAACTCTCGTCTCACCATCTGTTGTGAAGCTTTTGTTGTAAGGAGCCCAAAACCCTTCCCAGATGAATCCCCAACATGTACTTCTGTATTGACTTCCGCACCCATGTTCGAAACCTACACCCTCAAGAGGTCTCCGGAAATTCGACGTCTACGAAGAAGTGCCCGTGTAGCCCCCCAGAGTCTCCATGTCCTTTCTGCCTTACCCCGGACCCGAACGGTTTCACCCATTTCAAAAGTGAGTCCAAGAGTGTCGAAAGTCTCCACACCACAAACGTTGTCAATGTCAAAAGGAATCCCTAAAGCCCCAAATCTAGTTGGCTGAAGCTGCATTCTGCTGACTGCTGAAAACATGTACATTGTCCACATAGACCCCAACCGCCGGCTCGCCGTTTCCCAAATCCGGAGGGACATGCCGATCTCGTACCAGTCTGTTGGGTTCCGCCTCGCAAGCTTGCAAACACTGCCACGAAACAATCTCTTGCGCAAAATATAAAGCCCAGCTCCAACCCATGGGGACACCTCTGAAACAAATATATAATTGCTCATCAGGTCTGACCGGGACAAAACCTTTTGATTCATCATCAAAAATCTCATCCACTGCAAACCCTCGGTCACGAAGTTCTTGCACTGTCAGTCTATCACCTGTCGAAAACCAAGAACATGCTTCCTCAAGGAAGAAGTTATAAAAGCAGTCTCCTACGTCACCAGTCTCTGCATTCGGAATGATGTCGTTCAGAGTCTCACCATCTCCTCCTCCCATGAGCGCACTTTTAGACATGTCCAGGCTGGTTAAACCAGCAGGCGTCGCCAACGACGTCGTGGGTGGACGTCGGAGTAGGGAGTTTGCCTGACGGCAGTCAACAATCAGTCGCCGAGTGTTGCCAAGCCGATTGCCTTTCTTGACCACGGTGAACATTCCCACTCTGGCCTTCTGCCGTCGCCTGAAGCAAAGGAGACCACATTCGTGAAGTCGGTCATAAAGCTGCCATCTGAGCAGAGGATCTCTCTTCAACCTCTCATCCGAATGGGGTTCAACCAGCTTACAGCCATCTCTCAAAGCCTCCAACTCCGGCCCCGAACGTTCCACCAAGTCGCTGAAGCTCCTCATGTACGCCTCTGCCTCGGGAGATGCCACCTCCGCGGCAGGAATAGGTTCAAGCTTCCTGGACAAAATCTTAATCTCATTGATGTCATAAGCTGCAATGTTTGCGGCCTCCTGATTGTACAGGTTGGCGTGTTTTGCAAGGTCCGCAAGGCAAGCCTCCCCATCAAGACCATCTGGCATGGTCCCATAGGCAGCAATCCTCCTTTACAAATCTCCCATCATCCACTGCTGTACATATGTCAAACTGAGAGATTCAGACCTTGTCGACTGTGTAAAAACTGCTGAAGCAAGTTGGTTCAAAGCATTGACTGCATTAATTGTCAACCCGCCGATCCAGCTGCGAAGCAGCCTCCGGCTTGCCTAACCGCGGCAGAGGGAACGGATCACCATGCCTGCGCTGGACCGAAGGCCACCTGATGCTAAAATTGTCAAAAATCATATCTGCACAAGCTGCCTATTCTGAAAGGGCGGATCCAAGTTGTAAACTGTAAACAAGAGTCCGGCAGCCCCGTTCCAGCCCGATCGAAGTCAGCTAAGTCTCAGGGGGGGCTCCATCCGAGCCACCCCCTCTGCCTTTTGACTTCTTCTTCTTCTTCTTCCTCTTCTTTGCCGGGTCATCGGAGTCATCGTCATCATCTCTTCCACTCTTCCCCTTGCCTTTCTGCTGTCTCTTCTCCTGCGCATAGAGTCTCTCTTGCTTCCAGATCTGAGCTCGTTCTTTGAGACGTCCGGTGAGCCACTCTGTGAACTTTGGTGCAGTTGCTCTTCCATCTCCTTGGATTGAGGTGCCACTGACCATGTCGAGGCCCTCATAGTTGGGAGCACTAGGGTTCCTCTCCACTGCGACCTCAGTTTGAATGGCCCATCTCGAGAGGTGTTCTCCAATGGCAGTTGTATTTGATCAACCTGGTGCAAGAGGCGGAGTGCCTCCATCAACGTCCGGTGGATGTGAGCCGCCGAAGATCGTTTCGCCACTCCACTGAGGCGAAGCCATTCCGAATGATAGCTGAGAAAGTTTCCGGGCCCCATAGCAATGCTGTCATGATATTCCTTGGCAGCACGAGTCCCTGCTATAGGGAAATCTTCCACAACCTCGTCCTTCATCAATCCAATGGCCTTAGTCAGCTCGAGGTTACGTTTTCCTGTCGAATCCTTGAAATCCCCAAGGAGACGAACATCTGCCACCTCCAGCCCACGAGTCTTCTTCCAATCATCCATGTCCTTCATGGCAACCTTCTCACAAAACACCTCATCTCCATCAATGATTGCAACCCCTTTGCTATTGAAACATACGCCTGTTGCTCCATTGTCCATCAATGTTGAATCGATGATTTGTCCAAAGAGCTGATGTCCAGGCTCGCTCACAAGCCACTCATAGGCCTCCGACTCTCCGACTTCGGCCTCGCCCAGGATGCTGGCTTGCACCTTAGCCCTTCGTTTGTAAGCAAGGAGCTGTGATTTGCCAATGGGGTCAAAGGCATAAATCTCACCTATTATGTCGGCGGGAAGTTGGACTTCCTGTCTACAGGGAGTGGACAATGTCATCCCTCTGCGTCCCTTTTGTGTATTCCCCCATGGGAACGCAGTTTCTAGGAAGTCATCCCTTAGTCATCCCTTTGATGTTTCGCCCATTGTGAACGCAACAAAACCTTCAGAGTCTTCTAGGCCAGATTTCTGGCAATGTTGAAGGGTGATGCTGCATTTAGTTTGCGTTTCAGTGGTAGAAAGGTTTGCAAACAAAGGGGTTGAAGCCACAGTTCCCCATGTCAACGCAAAGATTGCTGATGGAGTGCTCACACCGCACTCTTTTTCCTTGCTCACTTCTTGTACACTTCTTCTGGAGCTGCGACAAATCTCTTGGACCGATTGTATTTGGTGCTTTGCACCCAAGAATCTCGTCCTTTCGAACTGGCCAGCAATCGGGGCCCGATGACATGTTTGTAAAAATTGTCTGACAAGGGGCCCTTTTCGGCACGCAGCTGAGAGATGTAAAAGCGGGCTAAAGGTTCTATTTCCTCTTTCCGCTTGGCCGAAAAGCATTTGACGATCCAACTGCAGCATTGTTCTGGGCTTTCCAGGTCCCATTCACTCTGTTGAGGCCCAGGTTCTTGTGCCAAAACTCCTGGAGCCGGTGTGCTTGGTGCGGGCGTGGATGGGGCAGGCTTGGGAGCTGGAGCTGAGGGTGGTGCAGGAGTAGAAGGCGCAGCAGTTGTGCTGTCAGTGCCAGTTGACGTTGAAGCTTTTTTGCGAACACTCTGAAGCCAGTCGCCGGCAGCCCCTGCCACTTCTTTCTCCTGCAAAGTCTGAGGTTCGATAGCGGGTACCATGCCTCTGCCGCTCTCAAATAGAAATCATGAGCAAACAAAATCTTTCAGACCGTTCTGGTGTTTTTGAAGGCGCCACTAACAAAGAGTCCACTAACAAAGAGTCCTAGTTTTTTTTGCAGCCAGGGAACTTTTGACCCAGCCAGGCTTCTTGCCGGGTCCGAACCAAGTCAAGGCTTCAGCTTCGAACTTAGGGTTCTCTGCACCGCAGTCTGGGCAATGCTTGTAAGCCACTGAGAACAAAGCTTTACATCCAGGAGAAACTCTCGCAACCAAATCCAGAACCCCGGATGTCTTTGACTCAGGACTGTCCTCGAGTCCTCCTCCAGCCCTTTTGCTTTGAAAGCATTCGTTGAAACGATCCACCAGCACTTTGTTGCGGTTGATTGCTTGCCCAACAACAAAGCCAACATGAGCCCAGCCTGCTAGGGCATTCTGCTTGGAGAGTCCAGCAGTGACTATATGCTGCAACGCTCTCAACGCAACGAAGATGGACAGATCGGATCCGGTCTGCCTCGCATATTCTGCCTTGAATTTCGACCACATCAAACTCATGGTTGAGTGGGGTGTCATGTCCAAGGCACACATGGCCTTGGTACAATAACTTGGTATGACGAAGACATCAACTGCATGCCTTTCACACAGGATAGCCACAAGTGGGTTGAGATGCAACAGCGAACCTCCCCCTGTATCCATGCAGAGGATCAAGCGCGAAGCATGGTCTGGCCATTTTTCTCTCATGGGCTTGATGTAGCAAACTTCAAGCATGTGAGCGAATGTGTTTGGCGTTTGTGCCCCGGACTCATGGGCATAGAACTCTGCACACGGCATCATATCTTTGAACTGACGGTTCAGCTGTTTGCAGGATACAATGCAACCCACAGGTAAGAGATCACCACTCAAAGGAAGGAAAAAGCAAACTGTGATATGGTCAAAGCTGCAGGACGCCATCGTTGTAGAGCATTTCCCTCGCATCGCTCGAGTGACAACTCCACGGCAGTGCTGGTCAGACCTGGACAGGGCGCAGGTGCATCTAAGCGTACCAAAAAATTAATGTAAACACCTACAGCCTTCACATTCTGTTTCAAACAGAAACCCGCAAAGACTGCCAGACCTGGCGCTGAAGCCTTTCTCGTCCACTACAGCTAGCCTTGAAGACTCGCTAGCTTGCAGCACACCATCAGCGACAATGCCATTGCGGACACACATCTGTTCTAGAGTGGTGAATGCCTTGGCAACTATGTGAGGCTCACAGCTGGTCACCTCCACAACAGGTTTTGCACGGAGCTTGGTGCAGGACAGCATGTCGTCAGCGGAACAGTGCTTAGACACCCATTCCTTGAACCTCTTCCGTTGGCATCCCCCCCATAATGCACTAAAATCTGAGTCTCAGCAATGTCTAAAGTCTGATCCCCCATCTCACTTTCTCAGATCTGATGGTCGTGTGGGTCTGACTTTCACTTTCGCCAAAACCAGTCCACCTAAAGGAGGTCCTGACTGCAGCGCCCCTGGCTCGTCCTCCGAAGATGAAGAACCACGGGTGTCGGCTCGGATAACAGGCACTTGAGTAGTGACTCGGAACAGCCAGTTGCGGATGATCAACCCTATCAGGAAAAGATCTACAACCACGTTTGCCCGGATCACCCAGCGCTGCCACCAAAGCTCAGTTGAACACCCAGTCCGCAAATCAACGAGATCTGCAACCACCAGTCTGGCCTCCCGAACCTCAGCCCTCAACGTATCCAGGTCCACTCCGACTGAAGGTGGTCTCTGCTGAATCCAGTGAGTCAACCACCCCAACGCAAAGGCGAGCTGAAGTCGCATGAAACACTATGCAAAGAAAAAGATCTTGAGAGTGAAGTTGCGGGCATCAACCAACCTGAAGGATTTAGACCAGTTGATTTCAACTCTAATATGCAATGGGTATCAACAATATCCGCTTCTTTGTCATTCATGTCGGACTCTTGGTTTGAGAACTCCCTTCGGTCCGCTGAACGATTTCGGATTTCTCCCAGGTCATCCTGGAGCCCTTTCTGAGTCATCTGGAGGACCTCTCCACGCAGCGGTTGCTTCACCGCAACCGCTGAGAAGCACCGCGTCTCACCGTCTCACCGCGTCTCACCGTCTCACTGTCTCGCGCGAGGTTGGATCTCAGGCGGGTTGAACGCCTTCCCTGCTCAGAATTTTTTCCGGGACCGTGGTCAAACGGAAGGTGCTGAAACCCGGAAGCTGCGTAAATACAAGATCTTCTCCATGTCACTCAGGAATAACCATCACCTAGTCCGCAATATAGAAAACAGGAAAAAACCCTGATGGCAGTGGAAGTTGTTGCACTTATTGGATGAACCTTTTTCAAAAGCCTCCTGTGGGAATGTGCGGCGTGGGTTACCCATTGTCAGCCACTGCCATAGGTTGTGTTGCATGGTCCCAAATTCCAATGTCCTCCGCAGCAACGGCCCCAGGCCTTGTCACAAGCAGTGATGCAACTGTTAACGCCTCAGGACTCTGCTGGCTGGAGTGCTCTTTCCGAAATGCCAGACGCAGCGCAAGCCAAAGCCTTCAGGTATGTGGATGTTCTTCCATGTCCAACAAAATTTGTGGTCGAATGCCGGTGTGTGTGTTTCTGGTCAAGTGCTTTTGCGGTCATCGTCGGTCTGAATCAAGAAACATCATTTCATGACTTGGGTTTGCCGGTTCTGAACCGGGAGCAACTCCTCCGAATGCGGTTTCACCCACAACTACATCCCACCAGAAAAATAACAAAGGGTCCACATTCTTCCACATAGCACCTGGAGTAGCTCTGTGCGCTCGTGGACGGTGCATGGGGGTTTCCGTCATCCACCCCGTCTCCCCATCTCCGCCCCGCTTGGACTAAAAGGAGCTGATCGCGTCGCGCTGAATCCTGCCAATCTGCTGAGCTGGGCTTGGGAGGCCACCTTTTGGGGGGAAAAACAGGAGACCCTTGTCTCTTATTTATTTGTAAGGGATTCACCACTTTATTCTAATGCTCATAATGCTCTATTAATTTAAAGTTGTGAATCTTATTGTCATGGCATGTTACAGAATTTCTATTTGGTGACCTTAAATAGGATCCGTCACCTGGGGCGCCTCTGGGATCCCATGAGGTAGTCGAACTAGGATTCGTCCACCTCTGGCACGTGTGTGAGCAACAGGCTGGCAGAGCCCATGACATATAGCTTACCAAGTCGGCCAGGCGGTGGCCAGCTGCTTGTTTTTTCCCGATTTCTTCCCTTCAGATATGTTCACAGAACGGCAAAGCAGAGGTGGTAGTAGGTACTCCTCTGTTTTTCCTCAAGGCTATAGAAATGCTATAGAAGACGAGAAGATAAATCCTTCAATTAGGTTGGACGATAGTAGACGCACAGCGCCAACGAGCTACCGGTGATGATTTCGAAGCTTGAACCTCCTGTTTACTAGAGCCCCCCCAAGCCCACAGCCGACCAGAATGAAGTCTCTTTTGACCGTCATGGTGTCCGCGGTCGCCGGTTTTCAGGAGCAAAAGCCTTCAGTTTCAGTCGTCGAATCCTAGAAAAAGACCGTCCCCAACCAGAAATTGGATGGAAATGGATGGAACATTGATGGAACTCAGTTCCAACCACTTGCTATGCCACGGATCGGGGAAAAAACACTCCTTGGGGTTGTTTCTGGGACTTCCATGATGTAACATCACCCTTATCAAAACCAAAGTGCCTGGAGGATGAGGGCTTCTATAAAGGCCATATTCCGAAATGTGACCAGCAACAAACGAATGAAAGCCATGTACATGAGGCACGGAGATCGTTTTTCGCCATCACCTTCCAGCACACCACACTACATCCCCCGCTGAAATCACCAACAGTCCAAAGCAACCCACCTGATCCCCACCTGCATGCAACCCACCCACCAGTGCTCCAGCACGCACACTGCTCATCACTCCTCCCAGCCGCTCACACTTGCCCTGACTCAAGAGCCAATAAAGGTCACCCGTCTTCCATTCTTTTACAATCTTTTACATCTGTTCGTGCTTGGTGGGGAAACCAATCTCCCCCCCCCAAAAGAAGACAGGTTCTCCACTTTTCCTTGCTAGGCGCCCCCCTGTTGACCCTCCTGTTCCCGCCGAGCACGGCCTGGCATGGCCCATGAGGTCCAGCAACTGGAGCGCCCAGTCCCAGCGCTGCGCTCCGCCGCACACGCTGATGGCCGCGTTGAAGCCTGGGCCGCGGCGAATTCTACGAGAGCCTCTTCTTTCGCCGAGAAGGTGGAGAGGTCGGCGGGAGAGGCGGAGTTGGGTGGTGAGATGTGGAGAAAGGTTGCCATGATCATCTGACTGGTGCTTAGTAGGGAATAAGGGAATGGGATCCATTCCCTCATTCCCTGCGAGTCGCACCAGTCAGTCATGGACATGGAAAAGCACGTTCTGCTTGGCGGTCTGAATTCATGCTTCGTCCGCGCGGGCTCGGGGGCATGCCATCCACATAGCCATCTTGATATCCAGGAGTGTAATGTTGGGATGGTCAGCTAGAAGGGTTCACCGAAAACTGCAAGGGTTTGTGTGTGTGTGTGTGTCGCACTGGGGTCTGGCTAAATGGTTGCCGTACCAAAGTCGAATCTGTATGTATATATATATATATAACTATATCTTGTACTATTGTGTTACACTACTACATTTGGCGTATATGTGTCTGAACATGTGCGCAATTGTATACAGATTACTTTATATAAACATCTTTAAACTTAAACATCTTAGATCAAGTCGTATGTCAGAACATATCCAAACCTTTTGGTAAGAATCCGAGAATACAAACAAAACAACGGCCCCAAGCAACACGGGTCTCCGGCTCAACCTTTCTTGCGGTTCCTCCGAGCAGCTGTTCAGATTCGGTCGTGCGCTCCTTAGACGTTCCGCTCGGATTCACTCCGCTTGGTCGAAGACGTGGAGAATCGTGGAGATTTTCGAAGGACACAGAACAGGTTAAGTGCTTCTCAACGTTTCCAACAAAAGAGAACGAACATAGGAGTCAGTGGGTTCAACCATCTCAAGATATAGTACAGGTTGAGCATGTCGGATCATAGGCAACATGTTTCATCCTACTCACATATCACATATCCTGAAAAACCAGCTGATATTGATATTAGCTGGAAACATGGGTAGATGAGGGCAGTTGAGCTTAATGGTCATGACATTTCCGAGGAAAGTGTTTGGCGAGTTGTCTGCCCCAATCTTCCAACATCTTCGAACCCACACGCTGATCACCCTACAACCAGGTGCCAGCTACTTAGGGCTCACATGGGCCCACACAGCACCTTCCCCTAAGCAAATCGAAGCGTCTGGCTGCTCATGCTAAAGAGCAAGTAGCATGCTGCGATCCAGTGCCCAGCGCCTGATGTGGAAGATTGTGGAAGTAACCCATCTCTTCAAGGACTCTTCCACGGCTCATTCTGTTACAGCTGACCGTCACGAGTCTGGCTAGCTGACCTAGACCACGAGTCTTCAAGCATCAAACCATGCCACTCAAAAGGAATCCATGCCCCGCCACCTGGCAGAAATGCTGACTGCTGGCGGCCGTGATGACTACCAAGAGCACCCTTGAATATCTAACCATCCAGTGAGCGCTCATGTATACATGCGCATGACCTTACAATGAGAAGTTACATACAAAGGCAAACTGGCATAAACTGGCGTATGCGGTCGCATTCACCCTTTCAGGCAGCATCCCCCATGGGAACCCCTCGGTGCAGTTTCATCCATGTTCTTCTCTGATTTGACCCATTCCAGGCCCCTAAGGGGTGGCTAATAGACACCCATTACCTCTACGGAGCTGTTATTGGACACCCCGAAACCAAGGGCCCTGGTTATTGGGGCGCGCTTCCTCCCATCTTCCCTGCCACCTCGAGTCCCGCCGCGGCGCGGCGCACGGTCCGCGGAGTCCCGCCGCGGTATACCGCCTCTGCAGGCGGTGATGGCAGCGTTGTAGCAAATGGTGTCCGGCTGGACCTCTCTCCACGACCGCAGGGCGGGGCACCACGACCGGCGTGTCCATGGCGTGGTCTGTGCGAGGTTCGCCGAATGGACCGGTTCTGGAAGGTGTGGAAACTTGAGAGGAGGGGGTGAACGAAAGGTAGCAGGCAATCACAAGTAACCCTGGTAGAAGTCCATGACGGCGTGAACCGGCGCAGGGGGGATTTGATCCAGGGAGGGGGGCCCCCCCAACGAACAGAATCAACTCTTACAGGACCAAATTCAATGCACAATCCCAACTCCTGATTGTAATACATTTTTGCTAAAGCAAGGAGAACTCAGGTAGCTCAAGCTACCTTTTCTGGAAGGTGTGGAAATAAAAGGGCCCGAACACGAGGTCCTTTATCCAGGGAGAAGGGGGGCTGAAGCCCAGGAAACGGGGCAAACACATGCAAAGTCCAAATATCACCCTGATAAAGACTCGTCCTTAGTGAGGGAATGAACCCGCCCCTGTCACCTCAGGATCCAGCCACCCTTATTTCATGGCACTCGTCGCACCAAACAGTTCTTCGGCCAAAAAGCCAGGCTTCGGCGGGTCTGAAGCTCCAAACGCTCGGGCAGGCCGCGAGCAAGGGGGGTCTTCCAATCCCGAGCCCTTGAAAGCACCGGCCGGTTCGGTTTGAAGACCCCTCAGCTCAGAAAACAGGTGTGGAGGTTCCAAAGTTTGAAATCAACACCAGGGCCTCCTACCGACCCTAAGAATTCTAGCCCATTGGAAGGGCAGAACTGAAGGCAAAAGAACACGAGAAAGCTTAGCGAGGCTAAGGGGGTATCCCTTCACCGCCCCTTCCAGGTGGTTGAGATAGTTTTGGGTGCTGCAAGTGGTATGAACTTTTGGCCTACCGGGGTGCCTGTCCGATCGCGGAGGCTCGCGCGGACGATGCACAGTTGCCATGGTGTTCTTTCCGGGACGTCTGAGACGCGTAGGAAGCCTGCTCCCCGTCCACGCGTCTAGTGACCATGATTCACCGATCTCAACACATCTCAGCACGTCTCAGGGGTGATGCCCTTCTCTCCCAGCCCCAGCCGACCCAGATGCCTTCCGGCGAAGCATCTCCTCCAAAAGCCTGCTGGCGGAATGCCATTGGCCGCCCTTGGCACAGGCGTTGATCACCTGATGCGCACGGGCTTGCCGTGCACACGGCAAACGGACGACCGTGCGCTAGCTGTGAATAGTTGTAGCCGGCTCAGTTGATGGCTGGAAGATGTGAAGAATGTAGATTGCAACATGTTTCCCGCAAGACATGTTTCCTGTAAGCACCGAATTGCCATGTGGAGCGTTCTTCTGTGAATCTTCAAGGGGGAGGTTTTAAACACCCTTGGAAAGCAGCCGCGGAGCGTTGCTGAGATGAAAGATGTTCATCTGCACTGCATGCTGTTGCATCACGCGCAAGACCTGGCAATGGACACACAGGTCTTCGACAAAGCGTTCGCCAAAAAAACACACTGGCACAATGCACAAACCTTCAAAAATAGGTTGCATTTCTCCAGGAGCAGGTGGCAGTCCCCATTGTGAAAGCCCCCTGCGACGGGTTTGACCAATGTTTGGAACACCTGCCATCCAACCGCCATTGATTTAATGGCTATTACTATACCGAAAACATCCAAAACCCATTTGTGTGCGGCAGGTCTACAGGACCAGGTCAAACGAACGGTCATAAAGGGCTAGGGCATGCTAGGGGATACGGTTCAATCATCCCAAGTAAAGGTTGCAGTAGCAATACTTCACCAAAACATGCCAAAACCATGTCACCTTGCACCAAAACATCTCAAAAACATCCCAACAATGGTTGAAGGACCCTAGCCCTAACCCGTATATCGACTATATATCCCAGTCTGATACCCCAGGTGCTCCGGGTCCATAACGGCTACGCCGGCTAACGCGACCTCTCACCTGGTCCACCCGCTAAGTCTCGGCCTCCAAGGACTGCCTCCACTGGGTCGTCTTGGCCAAGTTCGAGAGCCGCATGTTGACGATTTTGGGCTCTTCCCGCCACCTGGAGTTGATCCAGGTCCCGCAGTGGAAACAGTTTCAGCTGAGGTCGTTGCTGAAGCATGAACAAGCTCAGAACAAGGAGCAAGCATGAGCAGCATGAGCAAGCTGAGATCAGCTGATCAAGTGGGGAAGGGCGCGCTGGCGCCAACACGCTCGCGGACCGCGTCGCTTCCCGCTCTTTCTTCGCCCTCTGAAAGCTGGATGGGCTGTAAACGCGACAACATGGTGGTCCAATCAACCCCAAAACCAACAGGGTTAAGTGACCTTACAGGACCCTACCAGGGTACCTATGGGATAGTTGAACTAGGGTTCTTCAACCTCTGTTGGAATCACCAGGGGAAACAAGGGGTGCTGGGTTCAGAAATTTGCTGACCACAAGGGACCAGAGGGTCCTGAAAGCTGATACTAAGGCTTCCTCCTCGGGTGGGCTGCTCGGTCGAAGCACGCCGAATCGAACAAAAAAACACCCTGTGAAGCCTCCTTGATTCTCGCAGGGGCTTGGGAGGAACTCCCTCCAGCTCCCTTCCCTCCCTCCCCTGGGGGCGCGCTCCAAACGGCTCCGAACGACTCCGTTTCATTGGGAGGGAAGCCGGTGGGGATGCTGCCCCAAGTTGAATCTTCCTGTCCCGCCCTATCCCGCCTGTCAATCTCTTGCTGATGCACCTGGGCAAGAAACAGTCGTGCAAAAAAGGATCAAAAAGAGATGCATCACAGGTCCAAAGGGACCACTTTTGCAACCACAACTCTGTTATTTGTGAGCGATTTCCTCTAGTTAGGGCGTCTTAAGTTCCAGATGGTTCCAGATTCTCTCCAGCATTGCGCGCAAATATCTTCTTGATTTGAACGTCTTTGGGTTTGCCCCAGGGTTCAACCAACAGTTTGCGAAGAAATGACACGACCATCTTGTGGAAGCATGAACAGCAAGAAGCCCCTCCCCCAGGCAAACCTGAAACACGATATAAAATGGTCCCGAGTACAATTGGCGTAAACATGCGTAAACCGCAGGTCATCCACTGAACTGTTGGGTCACTGAACTGGATCGTCTAAACCTCCCGACGAGGCAAGCTCTGCCTGTGGCGTCATCTTCGCAAGCATCGTCCTCGAGCAGGCTGCGCATGGCTGCGCCATGCAGGGACTTCTTACACTGGTCGCCTCCGGCAACGTGCGACAACCCTTAAGGGGACTAAAGAATGCTAATTCTAAAGAATGCTATAGAAGCTTTCGAGACCAACATGACAAAATTGCTTACTCCAAGTCATCTCAAACCCACATTGTGGTTGTGTACGCCACAAAAGGGGCCCCCTGGCCCAACGGTTGGTGGTCTACTTCCCTTCTGCAAGCAGAGATCGTTGCCTATATAGGAGGCCTCACAGATTTGAGGCATATCCCATGGACCCAGGGCCCAGCGGATGATGATGGTTCAGTTGCAGGCCTTGTTCACAAATAGTGATGTTCTTGTTGACCCCCTGTTGCAGGATGTACTGGGACACCCCCAACACATATTGATTTAGTCCTCCCAGGGTGAAGATTTGGATCCCAGGAGCTTCCCAGTGACCTTTTGAGATCCCAGAATGACGTCACTTAGGCCTTGAAAAGGTCACTTACCAATCCTGAAGAGGTCACTGAGAAGGTCCTGGTCTTCGGTTTTTCGGATCCAAGTCTTGGATAGTCTTGGGGCTTTTCGAAGTCTTCGGGCGTTCCCCCCGCGACACGCGTGTGTGCTGGAACGTCTTTCCTTTTCTCGTAGCGCGCAGAGTAGTCTGATGTCCTTGGTTTTCATGATGTAGCTTAAATTTAAACTCAAAACAGTCACTTAATTGTTACTTGTTACGGAAATTGAAAAATATCAGAGCAAAGACAAATGATGCCAACAAGTTCTCACAAGTTCTCACATCGTTTAGTCTATTCCAATTGATGAGACACCTACAAAACATGTCCACTAGAGACATGGTTCAAAAATTGGATCCCAGGCATCAGCATAACCTGCTACAGCTTGCGATTTTTCTCGCGAATTACGGCATATAGATTATATACAGTATATAAATTATACATCATCATTAGGGAAGCTGCTCCTTTACAAAAAGGGGGTTTTCAGCTCCACTTCGGTGACTCCAGGTAGTTCACTCAGCCAAACCCAGCTGAATAGGCAAATCAGGCCCAGCTCCTCCAGGAAGGCCCTCCGCTCGGCGAGCTCGGCGCTTTCAGCAGCTGCGAGGGCCAATCCGCGCGGCCAATCCGCGTCTGTCCGTGGCGGATGGGGTGAATGGGGTGGATGTGGTGACAGTTGCCTGGGAATGGGGCTCTCCAGAAGTTCAACTGAAGCTGGTAGAGGCTACAAGCTGCTTGATGGTTTGTTAGATCGTCTCCAACTTGGTCGTCCTTCTGCATCTCCATGCAGGGAAAAGAAGTGAGGTAGAAATGTTGAACAAATACACCTTAGCGTTCAAGGGCCATTAAAAGAATGGTTGACCTGCAAACAAGGGTTGTTCGGCCAAATCTAGTACATGAATGGTGGCTGGATCAAAACCTCCCAACAGGTCTGGGAAATGGACTGTGAGGTCAATTGGTTCCCATATTTCACATCCTTTCAGGAGAGAATCCCCCAACGAATTGAGGCTGTGGAGCGCGCCAAAATGCACCGAAGACCGGCCAAAACTGAGCCAGCCAGTGGGGCGCGGCGAGGTTCACAAAGGGACAGATGAAAACGACAGGCCCTTTGGACATCAGAACTCCAGCATGAAGAAAAGGGACCACCCGGAGTGAGACTAAGTGAAAGCTCTGGGATGGGCTGGTCAGGTCGGGACCCCACACCCAGCTAGGATACATACGCCACGTTTGGAGGTGAAAAACGGGACCATGGCCTTTTTGAAGGAATTTCTGTGGCTGGTCAAGTCTTGCTGATCCAGAGTGCTGGACCCCACAGGGCAAGGGATTGACTCTCTATACAATCTAGGCATCCACATACCTTCTCACAAGGCGGACTCCCTGGCCCCTACCTGAACCATATATAGGGAATCTGGAACCGTATATAAGGCATCCACTGAGGCATCCAAATGCATCCATGAGGGTCAGCGAGTGATGACGCCAACGAGTTGGTGGCGTTCGTGGCGAAGTCATCGTCCGTTCGCCGGTTCGCGCCGGTTCGCGCCCCTCTTCGTGTGTCCCGTTGGACTGGGCTAAGCTGGAAAGCAACTTGAACCTTGGACTTAGAAGCTCTCGAGAAAAAAGGTCTTTGGGTGACCCGGTCTGAGCAAGTTCTTTTTACTTTGGGTGCTCCCAAATTTGAGACTTCTAGGGTCTCCTTTGGATTCTTGTCCTCTGATTGTGACCTCGTGGTTCAAGCCCTGGCCTGGGCCTGTTGCAAAACCCCAAACCCAAGCAGCGATGTGGTGCCTTTTGGATCACGAGCACCTGCCCATCCCCATAAGGTTGTTCTTCTCTGGGCGTGTACAACCGACCCCTCGTCCAAAGGATTCGGTACACGTGGCCATCTCGACTCACTCGGCCCGGGGGTCACGGGGCCATCGACAACTCGCCGCAAAGCCGTAAGCGGGTGACGGGGCCCAGATGGGACTCCATCCCCACAGGATACCACAGGATACCAAACACTCTCTCTCACCTGTTCTTCCAAGTGGGCCAATACCGAGTCGAACCGACCCTTACCTCGACGGATCTCAAAGGAGAATGGAAACACCTCATGTCTCTCGGGCTGGCGCCCATCACCTCACCAAATCATCTCTTCATCGGGCGGAAGAAAAGAAACCAAGTGTCCATCGCCGCCGGGCTTTTCGTGCTGGAGATCTCCAGAACATGTTTTAGGGCGAAGCCGAAGCTGCCAAGAGAGGTAGCCAGTGACCTGAACTAGGACCTGTAACCTGGGGTGCCAGACTGGGATAGGCGAACAGTCGGGTCCTGACCCACCTCTGTTGGTGTTTCATTTTGCCCAGTTAGAGATGGTTTTTGAGCAGGGCGTCGCCCCCAAAACGGTGAGGCCAGTGATCCACAGACTTCCTGGGTAGGCCATCCCTTGACCCGGAACACCAGGACCCCAGCATTCCAACCACCATTCGTTTCATATAGGCTTGACCTGACAACCACTCTTTTACTACGGGTTTTTGATGGTTTTTGGCACCTACAGGTCTGTCATGGTCTGTCCCACTTTGGAGTCCCGGTCTTGGAGTCCTGGAGGCCGGACATGGTCCGATGGTCCCCCCAGTTCTGAGCTCCCCGTGCCGCAATGGGGCAGCCATGCCTGGAGCGCCCCATCGACCAGAGGACCGAGGGCGAGGGGTTTGGGTGTCGAAGTCGAAGGTCGACGAGACCCTGCAGGTCCCAGGGGTAGACATAGCACAAGAGGTAGCCAGTGACCTCTTGTAGAAGCACACGGAAACCGTCTGGGGTAGACTGGCGTCGAAATCCTTCGGGTTCTGCCTGCTGAAAAACCTCTGTTCCAGCAGTCACAGAGCTCGGGGTGGTGTTTAGTCCCATCCAGTGAGTGGAGTAGCTGGGCACCCCGACTACCTCCATGGAGTCCGCACCCCTTACCGAACGTGACTGCTGGTTGGTACTGATTTCACCTGGTCCTTTCACCTCATACCGACTCCAGTAGACTGAGATCCAGACCAGACCGGGTCTTCAGGGCCACCGCCGGGATAAACCCGAACGAACCGGGTCAATCTAGTCAGACCGGGTTTCAATTTGGACTGGGCCCAAAGGAAAACCTGCAGGAACGCTTTCCCGAGCGTCGATGTGTCCACTCCTGTGTCTCTAAGCTTCTGACCTTAACTCGCCCAAAAAGGACCGTTCACGGCATTCACGGCATCAGACTGGAACACCCCCAATCAACCCAGACCCTCCAAATGGTCCAAGTCCCGATGCAAAGGTGTCCACACTCAAACATGAATCACACAATGTGAACCTGGGTGGGGTGCTCGTCAACCAATTGGGCTATAGTATCTGCTTTCTCTTCCAGTTCTTTGGGGCATCATCCTACAGTATTTGAATGCACACCCAGTTGTTGCTTCTACATCCTCCAGCTTGGAACTTCTGACCATGTTTAGAAGCAAAGCCTGTGGGCCGCTTTTGTGATACGGCCAAGACCTCCTCTTTTGGGAGAGGACCAGGACAACCCCCACCTTGAAAAGAACCTCTTAAGCCAAGCTTTAGTCAGTGACTGGCCCGGGCCAACTCTTGCTCCCAAACGCTGAATGGGAGCCGGGCCAACTCTTCATGTGGGGAGTTTGGCTTTATGAATCAAAGGAGTCTACATAACATTGACTGACTCGTGCCTAGTAGGGGATAAGGGAATGATCCCTCCACTATAGATACCTTAGGATCCGGCATGATCCAGCCACCCTCCATGCACGCGTCGCACCAGTCGGTTGACTGTCACCAGTCACCACCTTCCGAAACACCGCCCGATCCGACCGGCCTCAAGTAGAACACCCCCCGAAAGTAGAACTGCAAGTAGAATATACGATCATAAACTGTTTTCCAGTACATGTTTCCAAGGGAGTTTTTGATGGATTGGTGATTGGTGTGATGGACGTCTCTATTTTTGGGGTGTCATTGTACGAAAAGACATCTGAGGCGTACTCTCCATTTAACAAAAAAAACACCCCAAACGGTGGATCAAGCTGGCGCAGCTCGGCGAGCGACCCCTGTTTGGCAAGCCCCGCACAGGACGACCGTGGGGACGAAAGCGCGACGAAAACCTCGAAGTTGGTCGGCGCCTGCCGATGAGGGGCGCTCTGTTTGGCCTGGCACTGGGAGGTGCACACGTTCTCACTTCGATCTTCATGTACCCTGCAATAGAAGGATCCTGAAGGGTGAAGAGGGGGACGGTGAGGATTGAAGATTCTTGACATTCACATTCAGATCTTTCAAGCTTTTTCAGCTACTGAAGACTCAGCTTCACGGGGCCTTGTTCTTGTTTACAAACAAGTAATTGTTGAGAGTAGATGGCACATCTTGGGGTCTGTGACCACTGTACGACATAATCATACACCAACAGAGGTTGAAGAACCCTACAGGCTATCACATAGGTACCCCAGGTTTTCCGGGTCCTAGTTCAGGTCACTGGCTACCTCTCTTGGCATATATGATATTAACTCCCTATCATGTCGCATGTTCAGGACTTGTCCAACCTCCAGATTTCCCTCCAATCTGCAGATTTGACGTTGGGAACCTGCAGATGGAAGTGGCACTCACATGCACTAACCCAATGGACAACCCTTTTCCTCTAAAAACAGGCACCAGGAGTCACAAAGGGGTGCCTATTGGAGGTTAGGGGTTCCCGTTATCCACTCACTTGGGGACTAAACACCACCCCGACATGTGACTGCTGGTAGTTTTATGTCAGGGGTGAAGGGAAAGGGTCGAGTCTTCTGCCTCTGTAAGCCACCAGCATCTCCCAGCTCCATCTTCACATCCCTTCGTGCATCGCCCTGCATCGCCCTGCTTCGCCCTGCCTGGCAGCTCGGGAAGCGCTGAGGTCGAAATCTTCAGCGCCATGCTCCCGGATCCCGGATCCCCGGCCGCTCAACACACCGCGCGGGGCGCTCCACCGGGCTGCCGGGGCCCGGCGGGCGGTGAAAGCGCGGTGGAATGCGTCGCTTCGACCCGTTGGTTCACCTCCAGACTCGGCGATGTCGCCGGGTTTGGGCCCAAAAAGCACAAGAGGCAGGTGATACGAACGTGGGTGCCAAGTCCTTGTGTTCGACCGGGTGGTGAGTGGAAGGTGGTGAGTGCTTACTGGGGTAGTGTCCTCGTTGTCCCTGACACGGAACCGAGGTTCTGAAGTTCTTTTTTCGGAGAACCGGCCTATTACGTGACCTCGAACCAGAGGATCAAGTTCGGTCACTTTGAAGAGCCAGGAAGGTACAACGGGCAGCACATAGCTGCACCAGAGTCTACACTGCAAAGCACTATAGACATCAGTGATGGTAAGTAGCTTGGAAAACTTTTGGAAACTTCTTGGTAATCATATCAAGGACCTGGCATCCAGAGACTACGTAGAATCAGTAGAAAGTTGAACCTGCAGGGTGGAAGTGGTAAGCTTGGGAAGCTTGGTCAACGCGCTGCTACCAACCTGGCACTGGAAGCTGACGCACCAAGGAGTACATGAGTACATGGAAGTGGTGTGTCAGGAGCCGCCACCCAACATATATTGTTGTATATTGTAGGTGGTCGTGGTCTTGTGAGCGTTATGTTCAACCTGCCCTCACCAACAAATGCTGCGTACGCTTATTATGTATTGCAATTGTGCCAGGTCAAAGTGCGTAAAAACATGTAAAACATACCTCCGATTGGAATCTCAGAATTCCCCTCCCTCGCTTGCAATCCCGGACTCCTGTGCTCCTCGACATGTCTTTGCACCATCTTGCACCATCTCTACTCCCCCCACCCTCCTCTTTCGGTGCATGCTTTTTTTTCTCACGCGGGGCGGCACTCGGGGCGACACTTCTGACAGGCTTGGCCTGACTCACCTGCTCTCTGGTGAGCTCTGATCATCGGAGAGCAGCAGAAGCAGATCGCCCGCGCCCAGCAGGTTCGGCGCGACCGCGACCGATTCGGAGCAACGCAACGCGAACAAGCTATGGTGGTGGTCGGTGCGGACCCCGGTTCCACACGTACCGTGGCTCCAGGATCGGAGTCGGAGTCAGTCGAGTTTCAGTCAAGTCCCAACTAATTACAGTAGAAGTTCCGCGGGGGAGGACGAATCGCGAAGAATGAAGGTTTTGAGACGATGTCGATTTCGTGACTAGGATTTGACGTCTCACCCCCATTCACCCCCTGCTGGTGATTGTGCAGAATCACCATTCGACGACCTCCATGACACGATCAGCCACGTTCGAAGCGGTAAACGATCAGCCAAAGTGAGCCCCAGTCTGAGTTTCCAGCTTCACTTGGACTTGGCTGAGTTTCACCAGGGAAACACAACTCCCGCACCCAATGAAGACCTCACATGAAACTGGATGGCATCTACATGAAGATGGTGCCAATTGGTGCCTTTCCACCGCTTTCTCCACTTCCATGACTTCCATGTTCCTCCACTTCCTCCACTTCGGTGCCCCCCGTTCCTCTCTAGGGCGCCTCGACTCGACTCGACGAGGGCGACCAGACCCGGCGAGGAAGCAAGAGAAAATCTAGTTTCAGAATCGATGGCACAAACCCAAAGATGTCTTTTAGTATGGGTCTCCGCATGTCTCCACATGTCTCCACCTATAACGTGGGGTAACTTGTGCCATCGAACCTCTGGAACCACCCAGCAGAGGTGGGTCAGAACCCTAGTTCGACTATCCTAGTTGGGTACTCCTGGTGACGGGTCCTAGTGACCTGGTCACTGAACCTCTGAAAGCACTGTAGAAGATTCGTTCCGGGGAGATGATCCGATCGATAGGCTTCGACCGACCCGTCGGTCACCGGCTAGCCCGACACCATGACCACCCTGGCACCTTGGAAGCTTTGGAGGGTGACGGGGGTGTCCCTCTAGACCATCGTTTTGAGATGGGGGTCCATATATACACCACCTTTGGGGGGGATTGTGCCATCTACTCTGAACCCACTGTAGTTGCGCAATGTTGTGGACTGGGGGATGCTTTTTGGTGCTCAAATGAGCCTGGTCTGACGCTTGGATTACCCAATTCAAGCGGCTAGACCTCGAACATCCTCGAACCATTTCTGGTTCCCTTCCCTGGAGACAGTGGAGAATCACACCCACGCAAATCATAGATCCCCTATCTATACATTCATGTCATTATCTCACATCATGTTGTATCGGATGGGTCTTGCTCACTTTTTGAGGCTTTTCCACGTCGCCCGGCAGCCTCTTTCTGGGACAACTGTCAAATTGTGATGAGAGAGCCTTTTGCATTGATGCGCAAAAATCTTGTGCGGATCCATTGACTATCCAAGCTCTGGCCGCGAAAACTTGGCTTAAGGAACCTGGACACTAACATTCCTGGACACAAGGGATTATCTTGCTCCCCCATGGGGAACATAAATGATAACCATCAATAAATATCAAGCAAAATCAGGAAAATAAACATCGGATGGAGATCAGGAGATCAGATTAGCCCTGAACTTCTCTCACTTCTCTCTTTAGCATCTGTTGTTTCCTTTCCACCGACTCTGTCAGCTCCTTTTTTTGGGGGGGCTTTGGGCTGAACCAATTCCGCTCCACGTCGGCTTGGTCAGCTCTTTGTCTAAGAGTCCATACTATACCACTGGATCTGCCAATTGTCACATATGTGTTTTGCCTTTTCATCATTCATCCACCAACAACAGCCAAAGGGCAAACATTTGGCATAGAGTAGTTGGAAGATCTTGGCATACCCTGGCATGTCCCATGATTTACCTTTGATTGACCTGTGAACATCCAAACCCCACCTGTTGCTGGCATTGACGAACTTGGCCTTCTCCGCTTTTCACGAACCAGCTTGGACCAAGTGGTTTTCTTCTGGTGGAATGCGATCAGAATCACCGCAAGCCGTGAAACCATGTGCCACCGACTCTTGCGATCCATTGTTGATCTTCCCTAGGGCTCCAATCACATTCTCGGAAGGTGGTTGGGGTGGGTTTACGGGGTGAAACTGCGTTCTCAGGATGTGGGTGGAGCCCTAGGAATTGTGTCCTAAGAGGTGGAACTTCAACCAGCATTGGAAAACTCGGGTTCCGTGGACATCCTGAGCACCAGTTCGGATGACCATGAAATCCGAATACCAAACAGGGGGGGGGTTGTCCACTTTCATGTGTGTCGCAGGGAGGGTTACAGTAAGTGGTTGGCTGCTGACCGTAGTGATTTTCCCTATGGCACTATGGGTTTGGTCGCTAGCTTGGAGCACCCGAGCAGTCAGTCGTATTTCACCATGGTGGAGCAATTGCAAGGCTGTTACACTCCCAGGGCCGCCGGACCACGAATCTACTAGCATGCACTTGCTTTGCCGAGCGGGCTTTGGCCGTGCCCTTGTTTGAATAGCCGGGTCATCCCGAACCACCGAGCTCTTTGACTAAGGGTTCGACACTACAAAACCCACCAGATCGTTCCCATTTTCAACATGGCCGACTTGACTTCCAGGGTTTTTTGGAGTTCCCAAAGACTGGTCTCCCCGGCCCTCATGACCCTCATGGCCCAGGGAACACTCAGGGCTTCGAATCCAGATCGGGCGGAAACTCGGTGTGCCATGGATCCTTACAGGAGCAGCTCTACCATTGGTCGAACTGAAGGCTAAGTCGGCTGTGGGGTCACTTGCGAACATCTGCGCGGTATGGCCAAAACATGCAAAAAACTGGATGCGTTTGGAACCGGGATGGATGGGCATCGATGGATGAGATCCCCCGCTGCACCGGCGCCAAAGCCTGGCTGAGCAACGAAGATCGGATCTGATCGCCGCCAAAGCACGGCGTCAAAACTGGTGAGACCAATTTATGAGACTCGTCAATCTCGCCAATGGGCCGATTCGCCGCTGCTTGAAGTCGATCTCGGTGGCTCGATAGATATTCCCTTAGACTTCCTGGCCCACCATTAATTAAAGGCTGAATCCCGAGGTCCCGAAGCAACTAAGGATTTTACTCTTACAAAACCAGGTTACAAAACCAGGTCAACCATTGTTTCTGGTCGTGGAAGTCCAGGGTATGTATTGGTGATGATACTTCAGCGTTTCCCACATGAAGAGGCTTTACGTCTGGGGGCTCACTTTATGGGTGGTTCATCAAGAGTCCACATGACCTTGCCAAGTGGGCTCTATGGCTCTTGATGAAGATCTCGCCTGAAAAGAAGTTCCAAGCACCGGGGAAGCACCAGTTGCTTTGGGATGTGATGGTTGGCCAACAGGAGTCCAAGACGGACTCCAACGGAACACGACCGTCGCGTACGCGGAACACGGTGCATGACCGAGGCGTTTGTCACATCATCGAAGCCGTGATGTGAACGATGCCCCCCTCCATTCTTTTTAAAACAACTCCTTGGTCAATGACTTCAACATGAATCAACCCCGTCCCGATCAAGACCACCTGGGAATCTGAGTTGGCGGATGGCATCAACGGGAACTGGGGAAGCTCCCTTGGTGCGGCAGTGTCAACAAGAACATCAGTCAGAACACATGGTCTTCCCCAGCTCAGCCTGACATCCTGCTGCTATCCTGCTGCTTGTAACGGCCGTTTTCAGGCTCTGAGGACCCGCATTGACACGACGATGCATGGGACTGCCAGTCACTGCCGAGAGTTCCGGCCAGGGGCCCTGGGGTGGTGGTTGACTGGGGGGATCTGTCTGGGGCGGCAGTCCGACATGGCAGTCCCAGACAGGTCGTGTCGATTGAGATGTCTGACATCCATGTGGCCTACCCAATGGCAGTTCGTCTCATGAGACCTGCTTTCCCTGGTGTTTTCCAAAGCCAGGCCGAATTCCCTTGTTCCCATCCATGGTTTGTTCAGCAAACAGGGTGACCGGGAACACCTGGTGTGCAACAGAGGTTGAAGAACCCTAGTTCGGCTATCCTATGGCTCTGCTGGGTACCTATAATGTGATAGCCTGTAGGGTTCTTCAACCTCTGTTGGGTCAACATGTAGATGATGTGTTGGACACCCCCCCTTTCGCCCCTTTTCTCCCCCAGGAAGACCTCTGTGCTGACAGGAAGAAGCTTTTGGGCGGCTGATCCAAATTAGAGGTCGTTCAGGTTCTAAGCCCATCAACTCTGCGACATCCTTTGAAACCTCTGTCGGGTAGTGGGTGAAGCGCCCTTCCTCAGATGAATTGATATAAGCACTTCGGCCCGGCCACTAGGTGTGGCAGGACATCGCCACATCGACTCAGCCTTCTTCAGCCCTTGACGGCGGCTTGACGCAGCGGATTCTTCGGCGGCGGAGGATCGGGGCTTGGCAGGCGGCGGGGGGGGGGTGGAACTGCAGAAGGAACCATCACTGGTCCATCTAGGTCTTGACCGATCGCAGATCCATCTGTAAAAATCAGGGCTCAGGGGCTACTCATAGACTCCCTCTCAAAATGTCAAGATTCTTAACCGCATATATACGATTCCACTCACTAACATGGACGTGGAACACCCCTCCTTTTGTAGAGCAAACTGACCTTCCAAGGAGCCATCAACTTCCACGGACTTCCACGTTAGTAGTGTTAGTGGGTCAGTGTGGGATGTACAACCAATGATCAGTACTTCCAGCTCCTGCAGCTTGACCACCCTGCCACGCTGCGCCCTTCGAAAAAAAGCGGCCCTTGCGCCATCCGTGAAACGGCAACGGAACTCCGGGCGCTGCTGGCGCCCCCAGCGGCGGAGTCGAAGAAAGGAGGGCAATGGCCAAGAACAAAGCAGAAACACGGTGGCATGATCCATCATGATCCTCCATCTCTCCCAAGCGAACCACGCAAGTGAACGAATCGTTCTACCCTACGGCTCCAACATCCTCAGGCCTTGCCCACCCCAACACCGCCCCGGCTGGGTTGGCAACTCCGCCCGGAGACCTGTGGGCGGATGGATTTGCAGTGCTACTCGTGGTCAGAGAGATGCTGGCTGCGGTCCTACCAATGGATACTGATGGGCTCAGGGTCCCAGGTGACAACCACGTGATAGGGGGGACCTTATATATCTAGGCAAGCCATGGCAAGCCATGTGCAAGGACTCGCTGAGTTCCCCCAACACTTCAAAAGGCTCACCCTTCGTTCACCAGTTCGTGCAGGGGAAAACTCGTTTTTTGCCCAAGCTTGAAGCTTCACCGCTGCATCTTCGGTGGTCTCGAACAGGTGGCTGTCATGGCTGGTCATGGTGAGTCCCAACGGTGCAAATCCATGCCTACATGATACACCGCTGCAGGATCGCTTTGATTTCCACATCCCGGATCGAGCCTCAGTGGGGCAGGTCGAAGGTGAGAAAGCCCGCAGCCCGCTGCCCGCTGCCATGACCGTGAAAGCAGGGTGACCAATCCATGGGATCTTGGGGGGGTTCTAGGAGGCTTTTGTTGGCTTCATCAATATCAAGCAGGAAGGCCGGCCAGGAAGGCCGCCTGTGGCCAGCTCATCCCACATTCTGCTGGAACGCTCCAGCAGCAGCAACCACCTAGTTGCAGACTATTAGGTGGGTGCCTAACACAAGGGCAGGGACCACAGAATGAACATGTTCCACCCCTTGTCCATGCAAGAAACCCAGGGTTCCTCACATATGAAGTTGACCTGAAGTTGACTTTCAGGGTTCGTTCTGGGTCCTTTGGGCGCTCCAGTGTGCAATCTTGTTGCATCTTGTTGCTTCAGCTGCAGGCTTGTGATTGCCTTTGAGCATTTTCGCGGAAGATCAAAAATATCCAAAATTTGTTATATGCTCCACCTTAAGGGGTCGAGGTGGATTAGATAGCTGCCCTGGCTACTCAAGCTACCAACACAGCTACTATAAGATAACTTGCTTGCAAACAGTTGGTGACACTCGTCATTGAGTCATCACTCGTCCAAGATCCATTCTATATGGCCATGCCGGAACATACCCCGTGAAGTACTGGGGAAGGTTGTGGGTTGATCTCTAGGTCTTGCTCTCTTCTTGTAGAAAGCCGCTTATAAAGATCGCCTCCACGTGTGGCACATATTGCACCCCCAAAACGCACACCGAACAATGGAGACCCTCCAAAGTGCGAGCTTCAAACCCATCTTCAAAACAGGGGCAGGCCCCTTCGCCAAAGAAAGGCCTACCAACACCACACAACACCATAATGATCCTCCTCATTCTTCCTCCACAACACGCGTGCGCAAGGCAGTCTGCCAAGCCACTCGCTTTGTGTGGCGAAAACGGCAGGGCGATCTTTGTGAGCACGTGTCGCAAGGCCACCTGTGCGGGAGGACGGCGGGTGGTGCCCGCTGGTGTGGAGACATCTTCCGGTCCACTACTAGGCCACTAGGCCGACCCCTCCCTGGGGCCTTGGAAGCTCCAAATGCACCGAGCGGAAGTTTCGGGGGGGTGTCCGAGAACAGGCTCCGCAAACGGCATTTGTCCGATTTTCTCAAGGAGTGTCGGAGAAAAGTGCTGCTCGTGACCAGCTTGAGGGCCGCCTCGCCTTTGCCAACACGAAAATTCGGTACTTCGGTCTGGCCTAGCCTGGCATACCCTGGGACATCCCTGGGACCAGGGCGGTGATAGGCTCGATCTCCCGATCCCCAAATCGATGTGGGAAGACCCATCTGACCTCCCGGATGGTCCGATGGGTCGTCCGAACTCGGACGCGGTTTCCGGTGACCGGCGCTGCGAACGGGAAGAACCTGTCAGCATAGCAGGGCCTGAAAAAGGGGTGGTTAATGGACACCCCGAATCACGGCTGTTTGGGGCTATTTACATAGACACCCCAAGTTGCGGGGGCTCAGAATGATCGTAGAAGATCTTCTCCAGAAGGGGTGAAACTCACGACAGCACACCAGGAAACAAAAAAAACCGAAAGGAAGCTGTTTCATGGACATCGGAACGTCTTAATTGAAAAAAGGCGTGGCCTGGAGTCACACCTAGGTCCCATCCTGGGTCCGCATCGTAGGACCCCTGTTTTGGGCCACTTCTGGGCCTACTTCAAGGCTAGTAGATGAATCGTCGACGGACTATCCAGGAGAATGGACGGACGATGTGGGCAACGTCACGTCCAACGTCCGGGATGTCCAGACCGGTGGGTGGGTGGCCCTGGTATCAAGAGGCTTGTTCCCAGACAGGACTGATGGGACTGCCATAGATGCCTATACATTGACCCCTGAAACCTCCCCAACTGATCGGCATATATGGCAGTCCCATCAGTCGTGTCTGGGGTCGAGGATTTTCTCCGACATCGTGTGAAGTCTGGGGTGAACCGGGGCCTCACGCAGTGTCACAACCGGTCGTACCATGAAGGTTCCTTCCCAACAGATCTAAGATGAGCCTGGATCTTCCCAGTGACCTTTTGATCCCCTGCTTCGAGGTCACTTAGGCTTGTAAAAGGTCACTTAGGGACTCCAAAAAAGGTCACTGGGAAGGTCCTGGAGGAGGTTTTCCCTTTGACTGTGATGATTGCCTTTGTCCTAAGTCCGCATGGTCTTCGCAAGATCCCCCACCCACCAAAAGGCTTTCCTCCCGATCTGTCGCCCCTCTCCTCAATGTCCGTCAACTCAATCTGCTCAAGTGCAAAGACTTGCATATCCTCAGCTCCGCCAGCCACCACGGAGCCAGTACGATGTCTTGCAAAACCTGCCAAACCACCCCCAACTGCTCGGCACATGGCGGTGGATCTAACAACTGGACTGGTCGGTGTTTTCAACCCACTTGAAACATATTAGTCAGAGGGCCCAATCATCCCCAAGTAAGGGTTGAACATAAAAAATATCTGAAACCATCACCTAGTGGAGGACCGGTGTTGAACAGACTACGGAGGCCAACATCTCAGGGTGAAACAGGCTCCAGGTTTTGACCCACAGCCATGTTATGTTCCCTACATGGAGGAGTATCTGGAGAGGAAGATCTCCCCACTTCTTGAGCTTCCTCCTACGCACCGACTAGCTTCATATTTCCCCATCTGCCCCCCAAAGATCTTGAAGCTCCAAAGCTCAAATCCCCCAGGTGCTTCTAGAACGGTGGTGGGTGCTGTCCCCCCCCCCAAAAAAAAAGGTTCCAGGATGTTCTCACCATCCAGCCCAGAACTTCGAATGACTCAATAATAACAAAATCCCCATCTGCTGGTGACAACCCACCACTACCGTGCCAAACCGGCCGCCAAAGGCACTTGCCAGGCCTACTGCCAGGCCTTTCTTAGAGGCTTCTGGAGTCTTCACAGCAACGCCCCCTGACGCAAAAGCCCCTCGCAGCCCGCCACGCTCGCAAGGACATCGCTTCGACCGTCCCCGCTCGCGCCGAGGCACCGTTTCGCTGAAGAGTCTCCCGTCACAAAGGTCAAGGATAAACTCCTCCGCGGCTGCGGGTCGTTCGCGGGTCGTTCGGCGGGGCGGGACGGACTGGTGTCGGACCGGGCGGCCGGTCACGACCGGGTGGACACCGAGGCGATGCCCGTGGAGAGCAAGAGACGTCGGTGTCCTTGAAAGAAGCGTTGAACAAAAACATGGCAAGATGCCCGTGGGTGTTATATGACATGGGTTTCTATAAGAAACTGTTCTAGGTTTTATGTATTTGCTGCATAGGTCTGGAGATGCATGTTCGATCCTTTTCATGGTTCCATGCGGTTCCCTGGCGACCGACCTGTGACCACCTGTCGCTGAGAACTGGATAGGTTCTACCGATACAGGTGGGAAAGTAGACAACTTCCTACAATTCAAACCTGAACCGGAGACCCTAAGCCAACTATAGAAGACCCTGACTGAATCAAGAATTCACAGCACTCGCAGTTTGATTCAAGAACTCGAATCCTGAATCATAAAAAGCAACAAATAATATTAAAATATATGTCGAATTGATAAGATTCCATGAGCAAGTTTGGTCCATCCCTTCCATCAAGCTCCAGTGACCAACAACAGACTGACAGAAGGTCCGGTGTCCTCATCCGGATACTCGAACTTCATGTCCGGCTTTTGGATTTCAACTAACACCTCGGAGGTCCAAATCACTCGCGCCGGCGCGCGATTTGCTGGACTGGCTGGAGGGTTGGAGGTTCATTTGTCTGGAGTTCAGACGCCATCCGACCATCGGAATTCGAACCCCCATGATATAAAACCCAAACACTCCATGTATGGAATATTTACCTACATTGACCCCCCAAAACCACCCCAACTGATCGGCAGTCCGGACTGGCAGTCCCATGCATCGTCGTGTCTGGGAAATACCATCAATGGTGGGCCAGGAGACCCGCGGGACGGGCCAGCAGTCACATGTCGCGAGTTGGGTGGGGTGGCTCGTCCCATCCAGGGGCCGTGGATGTGACGACGGGGCACCCCGGAACCGGCACCCTCCATGGAGTCCGCACCCCTTACCGAACGTGACTGCTGGTGTATAAATCTGGATCTTCCAACTTCCAACTGTGACACATGTATGCCTTTTCATATATATATATATACACATCAAATTGGGCAGAAATTGGGCAAAGTTGGAAGATCCGGGTCAGGTACCTGGTTCTTCAAAGTGGGTCACTTGGGCCTGTAAAAGGTCACTTAGGCACTCCAAAGAGGTCACTTTGAAGAAGCTGGTAATTATACTTGAGGCCGAGGGTAGGTGACGAAAGCTAGCAGGGATGCATCCGTGTCAGTGGAGGCGAAGCATACAGCGCCGTCCAGTGACAAAGGATTGGTAGGACATCAAGCGGAGTGAGGCAAATCTTTTTTCATAGGCATGGGGCTGTTGGAGGGATGGTTCACAAGGTCTCGCTCATGAGGTAAAACGTTGTGAACATGTAAGACGCACGAGCAGCAATGACACAGCCAACCTTAGCTTGTGAATTTGTTGAATCTGTTGCATCGTATCCCAAAACCTCCACGGCGGAGTTGAACCAAAGTGGATGCTACAAGAGGTGTCCAAGAGGTGTCCCAGAGGCGTCCCAGGGGGGAGTTGAACCCGCGGGGGGGGGGGGGGGGAGGGGGGAGGGAGGGATGAAGTTTTCACGTGATGCGGCGATCTCGAAAATTCCAGCCCCTCACTTGCTAAAGCAAGGACAACTCCAGCTAGCTGCTGCTAGCTTTCGTGACCTCAAAAACCGGTTCTGCTGAGTTCTGCCAAGGCACAATGTTCCGGTTTTGCTTGAAGGCCTGCCCGACGGCCAACAGCGTTTTTTTGGGGGTCATTGCAGTTCGACAGCACATTCAGAGCGCTGTCCCGCCCCGAAGGGAAGCACATTCAGAGTCTTTTGAGCATAGCATAGCCAGCAAGCATCACCCCTATCGACGATATTTGGCCCCACCAAATTGTAAGGACATTCCAAACTTCGGGCCACCGCGCGTTAGACTACACTTGTGAAAATGGATGAAATTGGTCTCTCCTATCTTTCCTGGACTCCCAGCGTCAGGCTGCTTGGGCAGGATACCACATGCGTCGTATTGGTCCAACAAAACCACCTCGTCCGAAGGGATGACCTGGTCCACCTGGGGTACCAAACTGGGATAGGCGAAGGGGCGAGCAGTCGGGTCCCTGACCCACCTCTGTTGCTACACTTCACTCCCAACCCGCCCAGCCCGAGACCCACGGACTACGACGCGAGAGTCGGTCGTCGTCCCAAACCGCGCCGTGACGATCTCCACCAAGCACCACGGCCGTTCGAAGATGCCGGGTGTCAACAGGACCACCTGGCCGCGAGACTTCGCGCACATGTTTTTCACTGGGAAGGAAGGGGGGTGCAACTGGATGGGCGAGGAAACTGCGGAGGATGTGTCTGTTTTTTGGCAGTGTTCATTGCATTTGATGTATGTTCTATTGGATTCTATTTGGCTGAATCCCGAACAACATCTCCTCTTTGAAACAATGCTTATCTAGATGGTTAGTTTAAGGCTACCAAACCCAGGGAAAAACCTGTCTGTCTTCATGGTAGCAGCGGAAACATATCAACCTCTTCCAAAGAGAACCCTTCACCCAATCGCAATGGCCACCTGGACCTTCAAAGGGGTGTCCTGGCTGGAGATCCCGGATGGTAGTGTAAGGGCTTCCAGCCAGGTGACCCCTTTGAAGGTGCTGGCAGGTCTGCCTCGGTGTGGTTTTCTTCCCTTTCAGCCGTGAGAAGAACGGATGCGAACGGCTGGACCGGCTGGACCATCAATTGAATGTCCGAGATCCCGGTTGGATATATACCTGGAACCCGTTTGACCTTTGTCTTGATAGGAAAAGACCATATTTTGGGTGGCTTTTGGTCCAAAATAGAGGTCATAGGTATATACAGTAATGTTGAGGAATTATTTGGATGCATTGGCATTGGCTTGTAGAGTTTCCTTCACATAGGTGATCATGGGTGTGGAATGAGAAAAACGCACGACATATGCTTGGATCTGTTGCAGGTTTGTCCATCCACATGTGGCGCAAAGTCATATGCACCTGGACCTGCCTGGAATGTTTAGGGTACGTTTCTATGCCATCATGCGCCATCACCCTCTTTCTATGCGCTTCCCTTGCTGTGATCTGACTTGACTTGCTGATCTTCTCCGCAACAAGGGTCCAACCTAGTCCAACCCTTGGCGTTACCAGTGCCCCAGGCCCCCGCAGGTCCCACGTAAGAAGCACTTCTCCTCCGACAACGCCCCCCCCCCAAAAGCCGCCAGGCTCCGCATGCACCTGCATGTGCCCTTGAGGCTCGGGTTTGGATGAGAACAGTCTGGTCCTTTTGGGAACCGCCCAAGAACGGCCCCTTTTGGAGTCCGACCGAGCGCGTTCTCCGACCGACCGGTCCAGGGGGAGAACGGAAGCTTTCTGATTCGCCAGGCCTTCCTTCAAAGAGAGTCATGTGCGGCCAGGCCAGGCCCCCATTTCTCCGGAGCAGTTGGGCGAAACATTGAGGATTTCTCGATCGCAGCGCCTTCCCGGTTTGACTACGGCTTGCCTTGAGGCGCGCCCCCCCCGAAAGCTCCACAAAAGAAGCAATAACTTGGGGGGAGATGCTAACTTGCGGCTGCTAGTGAGACAAAAGGAAACTGGGCATTCGAGGGCGGAGGGCCATCCGACTTAAAACGCTTTCCAGCGACTTCCAAAGCATCGAGACCGCAACCGGTCCGTCTCACAAACGGGCCAGGGAGGACCAAGTTCCGGCTGGCCAGGATGTGGTCCCTCAACTTGGCTAGGTCTTCCAGATTCTCCTCGTTGATGCGTGAATGCGGTGATGCGCCATGGAAGAGAGGAGGCGAGCAGACTAGGCCCTTACCGGCAGGGAAGCGTCCTTGTTTTATTCTGATGGAGTAGTTGAAACATGTTGAAACATAGTTTGCTGAAATGTATCTTGTTGAAATGTATCATATCTGAACCAGCCATGGAATCATATCATTTGACCCCTCCTTCAGAACAACCATGAGCAATCAACTCACGACTCATAACAACAAACATGCACTAGCTAGCTAAAGCAGTGTCAAAACAATGTGATGGCTTCAGTCCAATCACCAGCGCACAAGTAGCCTGCGCATCCCTGCCACCCTCTAATACCAAGAGAGGTTAAGTGACCTTCTAGGATTCTAGGACCCTGCTGGGGTACCTATGCCTAGAAGTCCGAAGACTATACTTTCCCTTAGTGAAGCAAAGGAAATTCCCTTTTGGATACCCTAAAGACCTTTGACTCGCAGGGCATGGGATAGTCGAACTAGGGTTCTTCCACCTCTGTTGGTAGGCACGGTGTTTGAGACCAAGGCACAGTGTCCAAGAAGACCGGGTGCTCCAAGTAGTGTGCCGGATTTTGTGGATCTGACTGAATCTTGCTCCTCGGCATGGCACACATTCGGGTCATACACCTGAAGAGCTTTTCGATGGTCTTTTTTGGAGGGGGATGAGCTGCTTGTTCGGGTTATATATACCTGGAATGGAGCTGCTTGGGAACATCTATGGGAAACCGTGGTGATGAGCTTTAGGCCCGAACTCTGCGGTTTCCTGTAGATGTTCCCTGCAACCAATTCTGGAACGACAGAGCTGTGCCATCTGATCCGAAAACCTTTAAGCCGCTTAGAAGGGACGGGTCGGCCAGTGACGCTTGGAACCATCACTCTAATTGGCTGCTACCAGGCTCTATGTCTTTCCAACAGGGATCATTCTATTCAGAAATTCGCCTCTTCGCCTCCATGAGTAATCACACTCCCTGCAAATACGTGGACCAAAAATCATCGAAGACCAGAACACCACCATGGACGGACGGGGAATCAAAGAGGGGAACTTCTCGATTGTGGATTTGTTTTGCTCCTTGGTGTTCATGAAATGCCTGATGCGTGACGCTGCGTCTGGCGATGCGTGACGCTGCGTCTTATTCGCACAGTCGACTGTGATTTGATTTCATGATACGGCCCCCCATCGAATCCTATTGTTGCGAAAGCGGACCTCGAGTCAAGTAAACCACAATCAGCTTTCTGAGAGAAGCTCCTCCCAGAAACCCTGCCATCTCAGCGTTTTCAGAACAGGAATCCGCCCACCCGCCAGACATTTGGATGTTGCAATCCAAATGACTTTAATGTTGAAAGTTACCGGTGAAAGTTGTATTCATGATTATTCTGAACATTTCTAGGTTGCAACGACGCACTGGCCTTCTCAGCCTTGGTCGCACCCCCCCCACCCCGCCAGCCGACCGCCAGGGCCCCCGGCGTAAGGGCTTCCTGCATGAGCGCCGCCTCTGTCCCTGCCTCCTGGGACAGCGAGCAGCCAGTCCCTCGTGGGAGACGGGGGCGGGGGGCACGCTCAGGACTCAGGACGTGGAGGTAAAGCAGATCAAAGACCAACAAAACGGCACAACGACCAGAACCACAGCGGATGGTTTGTACAGACCCCCTGACTATGTATATTCATCCCATGACAAACCTTTCCGTGGTGCTGAAAGAAACTGGGTTTGGGCATGTTTTGGTGGACACGGCCCTTTGTCACGTAAAGTAGCCGTTCTTTTTCTTGGTGTCCCAAATTCGGCGAAAACCAACATGGGGCAATTTAGCCAGGTGACGCTGAAGGGCCAGTTCTTCAACTAAAAAGCAACAACACCCCAGCACATCCCTGTGAGAATTCCAAAGAGGGTCATAGACATTCTGTAGTGAGATCCCCAGATTCTCTAGTGAAAAAGCCCCTCATTCACTACAGAATCCAAGGGGGCAATGCCCCCCTGGATTCTGTATCGCGGGTGCTTCCCGGAGCGGGATCCCAGCACCATTTCTCTCAACTCTTGATCTCCCTCCCTCCAACCATCATGAGAGGTGGACATCACGGCCTGTTTAGTTTTTGGAAGATTTTTCCGGTCTTTCCTTCAAAAGGGCCGTGCTGTCCACTTCCATGTCTTCCAAGAGAGGTAGCCAGTGAGTTCAGTGACCGTCAATAGGACCCGGAAAACCTGGGGTACCTATGGGATAGTCCGTATAGGGTTCTTCAACCTCTGTTGGTGTTGGATAGAGAGTAATCAACCGCCCATATCAAGAGCTGTCCGATCCCCAATCGCCCCATGGCCGGGAGGGGGGTTGTTCTACATCCTTACATTGCTCGGGTTGCTCGTCGTTGTGATTTCTCGGGCGCTCTGGTGCACTCAAGCGAGGCAGGTCACGTAAGGTAGGTCTCAATGCGACAAACGAAACAGAACCGGAGGGTTGTGAAACAAGGGAGCATGGTTGGGATGTCTAACACTCTTTGCCGATGAACTGCTGCAGCGCTGATGGAAGAACTGCAGCGCTGATGCACAGCTCCAAGCAAACACATCCCGGTCCTTTTTGAAGTGCGTCAGGAAGATGCAGTGGCCCTCTGTCATGAACTTCACCGTCACCTGCCAAATATCAAAGCGATTTTATGTGGCCCTCCTCAGTGTGCTCCTCATGTAGGTGGCGCCCTAGTGGCGACGAAGCCATCTGGGGCTTGTTGGTATGAGAAGAACGGATCAATTATCCAGGATGGGTCTCCAATGGTGGTGCCACATGCCATCAGCATGCTCCAGTGGTAGCTTACCTTTAGAAGTTCAGAACTATAAATCCCTTCTGAATCCTTATGAGCCAAAGGGGCTAAGGGCAGAACCCATCTGCGGGCCCAGTTGGTCTCCTAAAACCTTGACATTTGCTGCTGCCAGGGCCTGGGAAAAATCGCGCGCCTCGAAACCCCATGCCAGAGGAGTTCAACTCACCCTGATTTACCCAGCTTCTTTCGGAAACACACACCTTAGAGCGCAACACTTCGGACGCAACCCGAACCCCCCAACAACGACCGTTGAGCGCCCTGGGGGTCGCCCCGGCCACGACCGTCCGAACGCCTTCCTCAGCGACTTGAAGTCTATCTCCAAAGGCGTCAGGTCCGTGCAATCCTCGGGTCGAACGGTCGCGGCCTCTTCTCGGTCGAAGAGTAGCTGCTGGGGCCGGAGTTCCCTGGCCTTTCTTTTGTTTCCATGGTCTCACGCCAAGTCCAGGGAACACAGAGATGTTTTTGTTGTTCAATGTGTTATTTTTCCTTAGATTGGTGGTTATTGTTTTTCCCGCAGTTATGTCTTTTCCCCACATAACTTGGCTAACTGGGATCATTTGCTGTCTACAGTGCTACAAACGTGACATCTATAATGCAACATGTTCCTTCTCCATGAAAGTCCGCACACCGAACACCCCAGCGCCGAAAGTGACCGCAAAACACCGTAAGTCCAAGAAGAACGGTGCCGCCCGCTTTTGCGGCGGGAATGGATGCGGCAACGCGGCGCCGCCACAAGCACTTTGGGTGCAGCTGTGTTCGGCCAACGCGAGGCAAACACGACGTCGCGAAGCCAGCAACGTCCACCCGGTAGGCTCCCCGAGACACCGGTAGCTCCCCCGGTAACCGATGGAGTGTTCTTGAGGACCGAGATCGAGCGAGGTGGAGGATGCAGGACATGTTGTCTACCCTAGCCTATATATAATCCCCTTCTAAGCCAAGACACCAAGAAAAAGCAGGATCTGGAAAATAACCAGGATATTGACATGAAAACGCGGTTTTCACATGATGGATTGGTTCATGTTGGCTTCTGGATGAAACCATGATGAAACCCTAGCTTCCACCACCTGCCCGCCCTCAGTCCCGCCCTCCTTTCATGGCTCAACGCGGCCGCTGCACTTGGAACTTCTATGTCCGGATGCCAAGGAAAGTTAGGAGGTAATCTAAACTACCTTACATACCCAGCATCTTTCAAGTGGGCAAATGTGGCAACCAATGACCGCTGCAGGGTCCTAGTCACGGCCAAACGACACGATACCCGTCTGCTGATGCGAGAGGGCTTACCAATGTAGTCCTCTGCCATCTGTGTCGAATGACAGAGGGGGTTTAAGGCAACACCAGCGATCGTTCCTTGGTCCTTCAAACCAAAGAATATCTCATGAAGTCTGTGTAAGTTGGGCATGTAAGGGAATAGCGCCCTTCCCTCTGTGTATGCAGCGTAGGCTGCACGCCCATTGAATCTCAGAAATGAGAACCCGTGACTTGCAATCTCAAGAGCCTTAGGCCCTGGGATCCAAACACCCTCTTTGAAGAGCTTGGAGAAGAAAAGGTCTATTTCCACAGCCGCTAGAAAGCACGTGTGAAGCAGTGTCCCCCGAATTTCTTCTTCGGTGCGTCGACAAAAGTCAATGATGAAGCGAAGTAGGCAGAATGTTGTGCTTCCCTTTGACCATGCACCACTGGGAAAGTCTGTGGTTTGCATCCACTTGATCGTCTCCTGGGAGAGCTTCCTGATGAACGGACGTTGCTTTTTCAGCGTGCACCACTCGAAAAAAGCTTCGTGCAAACTCTCAAAGCGTTTGGGAACTGACGACCCTCGAAGCTGCTCTGACACCAGCACTAAAGCGCTTGAACAGAAAACCTTTCCAGCCCCAATGTGGAAGCCATGAAACAAGTCCAGGCCTATGAACGATGTGGGCAATGTGTCATCATGTGGCAACTGCAGGAATATAGGATCCTGCAGGAAGGGCGACACTTGTCCAATTGTGGTCCTCCATCTCGGCTCTGGCGACTCGAAGTCTTCAAATGGAAAGCCAGCTTGATCTGCTAGACAGTTGTGGCAAATTCCTTTTGCTTCCTGCTTTGAGCTGGCTTGCTTTGCAGCAGACCCGAAAGTTCGAGACAAATGAAAGCACTTTTGATGGAATGGCCAATCCCCAACGCAGTAAATTGGGATCACCCAATGTTTCTCACCCTTGAGTGACATCATCCCGTTGTTGATCACCTCGTTCATATCATCCACCAAACACTGCGACAACATATCGAACGCAGCGCCAACACCCTTTTTTGGGTCGTACATGCCCTTAGGCAGAACAGCCAACAGGTACCTGGTTACCCAAGTATTTCCTTTGAAGTTGATGTCCTGTTTCGCATAATCTGTCTGTAGTGTTGCTCGGCGGTTCTTCACATCGGACCCGCGCCCCAGAATTGAAGACACGTTCAAAATCATGATAGCTGTTTTCTTTTTTGATCTACCCTCATCACCATGCAGCAGAAGTGCTGCGGTCCTTTCTAACTCTATCACCCCCGAGCTCGCCAGCTGAAAAACACGGTGGCGCGGCATGATCTTTCTGAAGTTGTCCCAAAAAAGCCCCCATTGAGCTTTGCACCGTGCATCATCAGGTTCAGATAGCCCACTGAGAGTATGCCACAGGTTCATGGACATCAGGTACTTGAACCACGAACTCAGAAGTAGAACTGGCACCTCCATATCTTTTGATATTTGAACTGGTGTCAGGTCCAGAGGGACTGTAAGCTGATATTCCTTCGCTATTTTGTGAACATTTTTCTCAGAATGATCCAGCCTGGCATTGGCCAGCACCCCGACTGTTGTTCTTTCAGCACCTGGGACCTCCTCCACAACAGCGCGAGCTGCCCGAATGGTTGAGCTGCAAGGGGCCTTGGCCGGTCAGCACGGAGCCCCTTTTCAACCGGAATGGAACAACATGGAAAATCAATGCCACCGTCCAGAACTTTAGTGGATGTCAGATGCAGAGCAAAATCTCCACAAGTTCAACAATTACAACAGGAAAGATGTTGCTTAATTTGCACAGCTGAAATGTCTCCACTTTTCTTTTGCATATGAAACGGTCTTTATTCAAAGTACCCCCGAATAGGTTTGCATCGAAACCAAATAGCACCGAGCGAATTTCCACGTTTCATGTTTATGAGAGCGTGGATATCCCGTATCAATGCACCATGCGACGAATTAAGCACCATCCAGATTTGAGGGGGAAGTTGCACAAACAGATTGCAACCTGTCCCAGTCTAAGTTGGCTTCACTTTGAAGCTTCTGTACACGACATACACCGTGCTCGCTCCTGAGGCGTCCTCCTCATGGCAAACGGAATCTCCACCTCGACGGACGTTTTTGCAACCAGGCTTTCCTGAGTTTGGCGTGGTGGTCGGCGGTGAAAGGATTGGGGTTCAGAGGATCATATAGATTTTTATCATGAGTTTGACTTGCAAAAGCGCAAGGGCCCGCCATGAAAGTGCTTCAGAGTGTCCCCCAAATTCATGAATGAGGGCTGCTTCCAGCATTGCAGCACTCCACGGCTCTGTGGATGTAAACAAAATGACCATGCGCTCCCACCGTTCCCGGTCCCTGGAGTAGCCGTACTTGCGATTTTCCCATCTAATGATGGGGTGGCGAGTGAACCCCACCTTGAAGATGCAAGGGTCATAGGTCTCAAACAGGGTCTCCATCACACGGCAACAGTGCTGCAAAACATTGCCGGCTGTTGTTGGTTTCAGCGGCAGCCAAAGGGTAATCTTGTCATGTTGGTCTATCTCATCCATCAACGTGCTGATGTGTGGGTCAACCATCGCTGCATCGATGTGGCCTCGCCATGTAACTGGCCGGTAAGTCCTGCTAGGAAGTTCCTCCTTGGTGTTGTTCGCAACAGATTTGTCTTGCCCTTGGACATGCCAGGGAAATGGGTATTCAGCGACCTGGGCTGCATGCTGAGTTTTCAGAGAGCCGGTTTTCTTTGCGGCGCACTGGATTTCAAAAGGTGTTGCAAACAAAGCGTGTTCAGAATTGTTTCAACATGCGCAACTCCTCTCAACACGCATGTTTAAGATGAGATTCGGATCGATGGGACGTGAACAAATCCAGAAGTTCCTCTTCAGGGCTTTCCTCCATGGCTGCTGAAATCGGGAGATCTACCAGTGACACTTTATCAATCACATCTAATCTAGTCAAAAAAAAAATGCTGTCATTTGAGCCCAACTGACCTTGTGTCTGATGGTGATCGAACTGTGGCAGACACTCTGGCAGTCCGGACGTTCCAAGGCCCGGACGCCATCAGAAACATCACGCATCCATTGCCGCAAAGCTGGCCCGGCACCTGGCAATGCCACAGTGGCAAAGTAGTTTGGATTCTGAACTCTCTCCAAGGTAGGTTGACAGTGAAACGAATCAAATGTAAAATATGTCCTAGCCTTTCAACCTCTCTTGGATTCTTGGCCAAAGTCAGGGAAAAGCCAAAGGGGATCACGTAGTGGTTAAAGAGATCCAGATTTTGGAAAACCACCTTGTAGCTAACATTTGCAGGCAAACTGCAAAGAACCGCTTTCTTTTTCAAGTGCAGAACGGAAGTTGAAGCATCTATCCTGGCCGTTTTGAACCCCAAAGGTTCAACATGGGAATGCTGTTAAAGCCTGCGCAGCAAAACCCACATGAACCCCAAAACGCCTGGAGTTGCCTCGAGCTTTCTAGCTCCATGTGCGGACGATTCAAACATTGACATGTGGGTCAGAGCCCAAAGTCACACACCAACATCAAGACCTACTTGACCGGCTTGCCCCTTTTGGGCTTCTTGGTCTTGACAACAGTTGCCTTCGCAGCTGCCGTGTTCTCCTTGGCGGCCTTGCCCTCTGTCTTAGGGCTAGGCTTACCCTTCGTTCCGGTAGGCGTTGGAGGGGTCTTCTCATAAAACTTCTTGGCGTTCCTCCAGTTCCAGTTGATCCAAAAGGTTGACAGATCTAATTGCAAAGTAGTCTGAGCAGATTAGATTGATTCGGGTTAGTTTGCGAGCTAAAGTATTTGAGATGCAGTCTTCAAAAGTTTGCATTGCCAAGGCCATGACTTCACCCTCAACTCCGCTGCCGTTGCTCGAGACGACCTCCAGTGCACGAGGCCCCAAGATGACATGGACGATGCACACTGTGAAGATCTTGATTAATTACCAATAGCACGGTCGAACTAGATTCTAGATAGTCAAGGTTTGACAAAGTTGGACCACTGAGATCCAAACACCATCGTGGTGTCCCGCATCAGCTTTGTAGCTTGTTCCCACCATCTTAGAGGATGCAGGGGGTATCAGTATGGGTTCAATTTGCATG